ACAGTACCACCTGAAGGAAAGAATAAGTTTTCCTAACAGGCAAACGCAAAGAGGTTGAAATTTTTAGTCTTCAGTATTAAGGGTAATTCCTGTAAAAGATAATCTAAAGAAAGATTTCGAACAACCCAACAATGCTTCTTGTATGTCCCATCTCCCCTTGCTTTCTCTCTCCTGCTTTTGCATTTCTTTCTCTCTCTCTCTCTCTCTCGTTTTTTTTTTTTTTTTTTTGGTGAGGCAGTCAGGGTTAAGTGACTTTCCCAGAGTTACACAGCTAGTGTCTGAAGCTGGATTTGAACTGAGGTCCTCCTGACTCCAAGGCAGGTGCTTTATCCAGTGCACCACCTAGCTGCCCCTCTTTTTCTTTCTTAATCCTAGGTTTGTACTATTCTACATCAACTTTCTTTTCACCTTTTCCTTGGGGCTGGGTCAGTTGAGTAGTAGGTAACTGCCAGAATCTTGGTTTGCAGTCAAGTGTACTTTTAGTCTGCAGAAGAGGGGTTCTTAGAGTGTTAAAGGTGCTGTTTTCTCTTTGACTTCCTTTCCTGATTTGCTGGCCCCTAAAGGGGAGAGGCCAAAGAGAATGGAGCCATATTTCATTGGCATGTACTTTGCAGTCATTATGGCCAACATATAACTTTTACATAGATTGCCTTTAAAGATGTCATAAGAAGTAATTTTCCCCAGTATCTCTCTTCCATTCCTATGTCTGGCAACCCACATTCTTTGAAACCTCTCTTTTTTCAAACTTGAAGCTTACTTAAATTTCTTTCTCTCATCCTTTTCTCAAAATAATGAATAAATGAATGAATAAAGCATTTATTAAGCATTTACTAGGTGCACAGCACTGTCCTAAGTGCTGGGGATACAAATAGAAAAATAAGACCAGTGCCTGCCTTCAAGGAGCTGCCATTTTAATGGGAAATCAACACACAGGGAAAGTCTCAGCTTCAAGTCAGATGGAAAGGTCCCCTGGTTCTTACAGTGCAGCAACAAATGAGATGGTAATGCTATGGACTTGGTGATGTAAAGATGGAGAATAGTAACGACTATAACAATAGGTAACATTTATAAAGAGCTTTAAGGTTTGCAAAGTGCTTTACCTATGTTAGAGCATTTGATCTTTACAACAACCCTGTGAAATAGTTGCTGTCATTATCCCCATTTTACAGATGAGAAAGCTGAGCCTCATGGAACTTAAGTAACTTGCTTCAGGGTTACACAGCTGGGAAGTATCTGAGCAGGATTCAAACTCAGGTCTTCTGGACTTCAAGTCTAACACTTGGTGTACTATGCTGCCTAGTCCTTCATGGTTCACTGGATCTTATAACTCGTAACGGATCATTTATCAGTGATGGTAAATGGAGGAACAACTTTCTTTATTATCATGGGTGTTCGTTATTTTTTAAGCAGCTAGCATAAAGAATACAGTGTAATTCTCTGCCCTCAAAACATGCTTGTTACCTTCCCTGTTAATTAACTATAGAGCAGAACATAGGAAAGACGGTATTCTTTCAAATAACTGATATTGAGGAGGTATGTCCAGTACCTTTGCATTTGGGTGTTACCAATATCTATCTGCTTGCATCATGATGATCTCTTGCTTTTTATAAAATGCTGAGTACTCGAGGTAGAAATTATGTCCCTTTTACAAGTGTTGGTGTGTCCCACTTTCTGGATTACCACAATGACTTTTTCTATCACAGGGAGAAAAACTAGTTGTCAGTTTTTTGTTGACTTTTGGTCGTCTTACATAGATTTTGGTATCCTGTGGAGCATGTTAGGTGGAGGAAGTCCCCATTGGGAGTTTACCATAGCAGTCCTCCAAGGGAGGATTTGTATTAGGAAACGCACGCCATTTTTGGGAAAGTTCATGGAAAGAGTCAGATTGGTCAGCTACACAAGTAAGATCTAGCAAGAGTCAAAGTGTTTTTCTTAAGAGGCTCACAGTTTGCAGATATGGGAGTGATATTTAATTGGTGAGGGTAATTTATAGCAATGAAACAGGTGAATTTTCTTATAATTAAAAATAAATATCAGTGACCACCACTTCACCTTATAGATATAAGCAGATGGAAGGGTAGGAGGAGAGTTAGGGTAAAAGAAAGCTAGAAGTGAGATTGAGAGAGAGAAACCAGGTAAGAAACTGTTCAGGGTCAAAGCTGTGCCATGGCAACATTACTTCAGAAATATTCAGAATTTCAAGGCAACCTACCCACCTTAATCTCAGTCAGTGGGGATCTTCTGTTTACCTCATAAGCTAGCATAGTTGTCCTCAGTTACAATATGTCAGGTGTCCTAGACAGAATATATGATTGGGGTCCTATAAAAGCTAGTGCTTTAAAAAAAGTGAGACATACACACAGTACTCATTTTTTCTTCTTGTTAAAAATGTCCAATTTCACATTTCTTTTTTCTTCCCCTTCCCCTCAAAAAAGGTGAATTCTGAAATTTTCTGAGTGGTATTTGGCTCATTACAGCATTTTTCAGTCCTGCCAACAAAATTTATAGTTCCATAGCAGTTCCAATAGCCTGGGAATTGATTTATCCGTGGGATTAGGAAGGCACGTTTTAAGAGCAGTCTTTTCAAGAATTTGTAATGACTGTGAATGAGGATTATAAAATATGAAAATTCTTTTTCTCTGACCAGGCTAACAGTAAAATCTTTTACTTAGTTCTGCTGTGTTTCATTGTTTGGGCAAGGTGCAAATACCAATTTGAGGTAAAGAGGGATCTTCTGAATTGATAGGATATGAGTCAGTCTACATATTCTGCTTGGAAAGTGGTTTAAGATTAATAGTAAAGAAAGGCTTTAAAGTATATTCCTTTCTCACATTGGCTATCACCACAGTCTTGTACCTCTCTGGCTCACTTCTAACTGTATTAATTATTATTTTTCACCCTCTGTCTCCTGGAGACAGCTCTGGCTTCCCCTTTTGTTTACAGCCATTGGCATGAGTCATCCCTTCATGGTGAATATTGCAGAATCACATATCCCATTCCAGTCTAATTTGTATACTTGCCAAGTCTATGCCAGCAGCAAGCCTTGGTTTTTGACTCTCATTATGGTCAGAGTAGACAAACTTCAACAAGTTAATTAAGGGACTAGGGAGGTGAGAAGAGAATTGAATAGCATAATTATTCCTATACCCTTTGTTACATACAATATGTGTTTTGGAAGGCCTATCAACCTGTACCAAATGTATTAGCCTGGGGGTGTTCTGGGGAATTTGGAAATTCCTCTGAACCCATTTTGTGATGAATTTGCAAACATGTGGGCATTCAATTAATTTGCTTTGAAGAACCTTTATTTGTAAAATAAAATTTATGATTCTGGTTTACATGCACACCTATAATATATGTATATCTTAAGAGAAGTCTGTAGAAATCTAGAAATTTGACTTTTTCTTTTTTAACTTAGGGTTTTTATTTTTAAAAGTCATCTCCCCTCCCCCACCTCCACATTTGCCTCGGAAAATATCCCAATTCAACTCCTATGTGGAAATTCATTTTGATTTGGAAACTTGTAGGCATTTATGCATTTGCCCCTTCATTTGAATTTTTTTCACCGAATTGAATTAGGCACTATGATATGTGACTCAGGGTGTTGAAAATGAGTTTGCACTAAACAGAAGGGAGGGGTGGAAAACCAGTCTTCTAAGCAGATTGGTTCTAGTGCATTTTATGGTGTAGATGAACCAGCCAGTCTCATCTTGGCATGGCAACCTTGGGTAAAGAATAGATGGATTTGTGCAGTTTGGCCTTAGATTCTAAACACTTGGATTGCTAGAGCACATTTCACCATAAGGGAACTTGGTCAAAATGGCCAGGTGAATAAAATCACCAGTTTGAGAAGTGAAATAAATTTGTTTGGAGCCTCTTTGGGGTGAACGGGAGGCCACGACCTATAGGGTCTGTGTGGGATGAGAAAGATTGTAAAAACTCCAAAGTACCTGCTCCATGGAAAGAAGAATGAGTGAAAGCAACAATTAGGCATTTCTCCATCCTTCTTACCAGTCTAGAAAAGAAGCACAAACTCAGGAATAGAGGCTTGTTTAGGGGGTGGGGGTTAGGAGGTTGAGTCTTCTAAAAGCCTCCATCAAAAATATTTACTGCCCAAATAAAGTAACGAAGGGATACAAATCTGTCTGAAAGAAAGTGAATGTTTGTCTTTGGAAATCCACTTTTATTTGAAATCCAGATATATGATAACTGGTAGCGATGTGAAGTTTGGACAGACTAATGCTCGGTTCATTTCAGACATTGTAAAGTACACATCTGCAAACCTTAGAAACCTCACGATCATATTGTATACAGTTGTGTATACACAGTTGTGTATACAATACAACCCCCAAGTAAATGCTGCAGATTGGAAGAATCCCAGGGACTTCAGTCCACTGTGAAGGAGACAGGAACGCCTGTGACAACACAGGATGTCAGGTGCTTTGAGATGCTAGCAAGAGGAAGAGAAACTGAACCATCCAAGATGGTCCTCGACCTCGTAGAAGCCCCATTCATCTTTCTGCTTGGTGTCTCAGAGTGAAAATAAGGAGTTTGGGTTGAAGCAGCTGAAGTTTGAGAGTCTCTATAAACTTCTGTGAGAGGTCCGTCTTAACTTTCATAATGAATGTCACGGTCAATCTGCCTGTATTTTTACCGTCCTACCAGCTTAGTTCATCCCTCATCCTGTCCCTTGTGCAGTCCTTCCTCTTTCCTTCCTGACAGCCCAGGCATCAGTGGTAGCCTTAAGCAGGCAGGGGAAGTAGAGATAAAATGCTCTCTTAGCCCAAAATGACCCAAGGGGCCTCCTTCCTTTCGTCCTAGTTTTTTTGTTGTTATTTAAACTCTCTTCATGTGAATGGGCTGCACCAAAAACTGTTCTGACCAGGGAATGAGGTGGAAGACTGACAGATCATATGTTTAGGGCAGCCAGACTCTGGCTTCAGTTTAGGAGCACAATTAGGAATAGAGTGGTGTTGATCAAGTCTACTTCCACTTTCCAGGAAGTGGACATCGTGGTTTTGCCGTGCCGTGGGTTCCAGCCCCCAGTGGATACTCTAGGTGAGTTAGTGAATGGTGTCCTGCCTGTGGTGATCTTTGCCATCAACAAGGATGAACTCTCAGAAGGAGATGAGGAAGAACTGAGAGCCATCCAGGAACGGCTTTCTCTGCCTATATTCTTTTTCAAAGTGCCAAAGCTGGGCTCTGAGCTGATTTCCCCCAAGAGAAGAATGGAGACTGAAAGATCATCACTTCACCGACAGCTAGTTGACCTGAACTACCTGAATGATAGTCACCATAACTGTGGGACCCTTGGCCTAAATGCCAAAGCTCAGAGCATGTTGGTGGAACAGAGTGATAAGCTAAGACAACTGAACACATTCACTCATCAGGTGCTACAAACGCACCTTGTCGATGCAGCCACGATTCTGAACCTGGTGCACTGCCGGTGCCTGGATATCTTTATTAACCAGGCCTTTGACATGCAGCGGGACCTGCAGATCACTCCCAAGCGGCTCGAGTACACTCGAAAGAAGGAAAATGAGTTGTATGAATCACTGATGAACATTGCCAACCGCAAGCAGGAGGAGATGAAGGATATGATCGTGGAGACTCTCAATATCATGAAGGAAGACCTTCTGGAAGACGCTGCCAACATGGAGTTCAAAGGTAGGTTTCTGAGTGATGGCCAGCGAGCTCTGTAGGAGGCTGGGCGTACTAGGTCTTCTGACCCTTTTCTTGAATTTGTAGAAACTGAGCTTATAAATTTGTAGAGCTAAAAGAGATCATTAGGTCAACTTTTCCTTCCCCTTGCTCTCAGGGATACTACATTAAATAATCTAGTGAGATGAACATGTTTGCCTCCTGAAAGATCTCTCCAGAAAGTTCCACAATTATGTGTAGTCAGACATTTGTCTGAGTATTGGGAAATTCTTCTTAACATCGAGTCTTAGTTTGTAGTATAAACCTGTTTTTCGCTTGTTTAATCAGTCCACAGTGGAAATGGAGGATAACTGCTCACCGCTCTCCATATAGTAACTCTTCCTGAGTTTGAAGATTGTTATCAATTGACTGCTCAGCCTTCTCTAGTATATCCCAGGCTTTCTTATTCTTCCTGCCTTTTAACTTTCAGCTTCACGCCTTATCAAGGCCTCCTGCCTAAATCCCACCCCCAAGATGGTATCCCAGACCAGCATTTCAAACTTCATTTCTTTTCCCACTCCTTTTGAATATTAATCAAATTGGATGAAAATCCTAAGTCACTGGGGTTGTAAAATTTGTTACTTATGTTCGCTGTGTGGTGGGTTGTAGTCCACAAATAACATAGGCTGTATTTAATCCTAGTTAAAGGGGAATGACACAAAATTCCACTTCATAATATCATTTTAATGAAGTAAATTCTTCCCATTAAATCTCTATATTGGCTAGTTGGAATCTTTTTGTTATAAAATATTTGTAAAGTGGTTTGCAAAGCTTACGGCACTATGTAAGTGTTATTGTATTTATTATCGTTACTATTATTATTCTGTGACCACAGACTACACCCTTTGCTCTAGCTTGGTATCTTGCCAGTATGTCCTGTTATTAATAATAAATGTATATTGATTAATAAAAGAATTTGTCAAGGGATTGTGGATAGTTCATTATAGGCTTTTACCACTATAGTGGAAATAGTTTCATGTGTAACATTTACCAGTAATGGGTCAGTGACATTTTTTGTATATGTGGAAAATAGCATATTATTCTGGGTCTGTCGTATAAAGAGATGCCACACCTAAACTTATGGAGTGTAGTTAAGCAGGCTAGGTTTCCTATAAGACTTTTCAGAGACAGGTGAAGGAGTGGCTCTAATGAATTGCCTTTGTGGTAGAGGTACTGAGGCATGCTTGGGGATGTAGGAAGGGAGGCCAAGGTGATTAAAAGTAGTATTCTAAATATTAACCCCCTTTCTTATCAAGATTCTGTCTCCTTTATGCCCTCTATAGAAAGAGCATTGAGTAAGTACAGTAGGAGGTATATGATGTCCCCAATTTCATGGCCTCTGGTTATATTAATAGTCTTACGCTTCATGCCTGGAGTTGTTCTATCTACCACCCAGATGTTCCTGTAGCCACTGTCAGTATAAATTCTTTGGAACTTTTGATGTAGGTGACCCTTTTATTCAATATGCCTTTACCTCTCCCCCATCTGCTGACTAGCTCCCATCCTTACCTCCTATAGATGTCATCATCCCTGAGAATGGGGAGCCAGTGGGCACCAGAGAGATAAAATGCTGCATCCGTCAGATTCAGGAACTCATCATCTCTCAGCTTAACCAGGCTGTGGCCAATAAGTTGATCAGCTCAGTGGACTATCTTCGTGAGAGCTTTGTGGGAACCCTGGAACGGTGTCTGCAGAGCCTAGAAAAGTCCCAAGATATTTCAGTCCACATCACTAGTAACTATCTCAAACAGGTATCTAAAAGAATGATTTTTAAAAAGAAAGACTGGTGACAAATGAAACAGCATTCACACCTAACTCCCAAACTTACAGCGACAAGCTTTTCTTTTACCCAATCCATTTCCCCAGAATGACTAACACCTCTAACTTGAGTGTCGTTTTCTCCCATCCATCTGTCTACCGCCTAGGGGAGGTGTTTATAAGCATTAAAATGGCAGAATGGTAGGAAGAGGGAAGAAGCCGTGGGACTGTCAAACCCTCATATGAGATTACCAGTTTCTGAATATTGGAGCATTGACCTTGCTTTTATTAAATTGGCATAAAAGACAAACTTAAGGACCCTGAGGCTAGGGCATGCTCTTGAAGCAAGGATCTTTATTTCCTTTTCTGAAACAGATACTTCATTCAGGTCAGGGTGACTTGGCAATCTGTGTTCCCTTTCAGATCTTAAATGCTGCCTATCATGTTGAAGTTACATTTCACTCAGGGTCAACAGTAACCAGGATGCTGTGGGAGCAGATCAAACAGGTACAAGTGACTGACTGGATCACAGGAACATAGATTTAAAGTTTGAACTTACAGGTCACATGGGCCAAAGCCCCTCACTTAACAGGTAAGGAAACTGAGGCCCAGAGACAATAAATGATCTGCCCAAATTCACAGGTAGTGATTAGTCGAGCTGGGATTCAAACCAGGGATTGTTTATTCCAAGTCAAGCTTCTTGTTGTTTAGTCATTATTTAGTCATGTCTGATTTTCTTAGCAGAGATACCGGAGGGGTTTGCCATTTCCTTCTCCAGCACATTTTACAGATGAGGAAACTGAGGCAAACTGGATGAAGTGACTTGCCCAGGGTCATACAGCTAGCAATTGTCCGAGGCCAGGTTTGAACTCAGCAAGATGAGACTTCCTGACTCCAGGCCCAGCACTCTATCCACTGCACCACCTAGTTGCTTTCTGTTAAAATGATATCCACTAGAGGACTGGCCCAGATCTCCAGGATCTTTCTCTGATCAAGGCAGCCACACACCTCTGCTCTTTCCCACTAGATCTCCTTTTCCCACCAACTACATATTTTTCTTGCCTGGGCTCTGTTGTGTCACCTGAAATAGTGGGTGTGGTCTCTGCTGTAGAACTTAGGCCAGCTATTAGTCTTTGAACTCCAGAGTGATGCTTCATCAGCCACACCTGATACTTGATGGTACTGAGTAGATTTTTCCTGGGACTTACGAGCTTGGAGGCTAAACTCTCGTGTTCTCTTAAGATTCCTTCTTAGTTGGTGTCCCCAGTTTTAATCCTACCTATTCTGTATTGTTAAGAATCAGCATCCAAATCTCATGTGAGTCCTCATTTTCGGTGCCTTCTTTTATTGGCATTGGGTCTTCCTGCAGTTCTGTATATTATCTGGTCTTGATCTCACTGCCTCTGTCTTGACAGATTATCCAGCGAATCACATGGGTGAGTCCACCTGCTGTTACTCCAGAGTGGAAGAGGAAGGTGGCCCAGGATGCCATTGAGAGTCTCAGTGCCTCCAAGCTGGCCAAGAGCATTTGCAGCCAGTTCCGGACCCGGCTTAATAGCTCTCATGAGGCATTTGCAGCCTCCCTGCGGCAGGTGGGCCTATGGAGGAGGTGATGCAGTTGTTTCAGAGAGAGTGATGCCTCTGTCAGTCTGTATTGACTTGACTTTGTTGTACTTGGAAATTCGTTTGTCTGTTTGCTTTTACATTATATAAATGTGTTCTGTTGATGCCCTTTATAAAACATTACTCTTGCTCCCTGATAACTTTCCTAGCCCTTCAATAGAACCCTTCCTTGTAATAAAAACATACAGTTAAGCAAAATAAGTCAACTCAATGGCTATTTATGATAGCCTATGCCTCATTCTGCACCTGTCACTTGTCATCTCTTAGACAAGAGGCAGGAAGAATGCTTCGATCCTCTGAAGTCCTAATGGGTGTGTTTATTTTCCACATGTGTATTTGTTTAAACCCAATTCATGGGGAGGGAGAAGCTCAAATGATTTCCCCTATTTCACAGACTGAGCATCAGAAAAGTCAAGACGGGGGACAGGACTATATCCGAGTCACAAAGCATTCTAGGTGCTGTGTCATAGAAGGAGCATAGATTTCGAACTAGAAAAGACCTTAGAGATGATTTAGTCCAATCCCTTTGTTTTGAAGATGTGGAAGGAAGAAAGGAAAGAAGGAAGGAAGAAATGAAGGAATGAAGAAAGAAAACAAACATTTACTAAGTGCCTGCTAAGTGTCAGGCACTGTGTTAAGTGCTTTACAAATATTATCTCATTTGATCCTCACAACCATCTTGGGAGGTAGGTGCTATTATCCCCATTTTACTGATGAGGAAACTGAGACAGAGGTTAAGTAATTTGCCCAGGGTTACACAGCTAGTAAATATCTGAGGCCAGAATTGAAATCAGGGCTTCCTGACTCCCAGTGCTCTGTCCACTGTCTCACCAGCTGCCTCAGACACTAGGGAGAGCTAGTGATAGATAGGGTGGTAGGTTTAGAGCTAGAAGAGACCTTTGAATACATTTAGTTATCAGAATCCCCTTCTTTTATATATGAGGAAACACAGAAAGGATAAGGGACTTTTCCCAAGTCACACAGGTAGCCAGAGGCAGGTTTTGAACAAAGGTCTTCAGACACGCAATCCAACCCAGGAGCCAGGTATCCTGGCTCGCCACAGCTTTGTAGCATCTTCTTGTACTTTCAAGGGGAGAGGAGGGTTATGATTGGAGTTGCTTTTAAGCAGACTTCTCAGCAGTTAGGTCATGGTCATGTCTCTCCTGTTTACTCTCTAGTTGGAAGCTGGTCATTCAGGCCGGCTAGAGAAAACTGAAGACCTGTGGTTGAAAGTTCGGAAAGATCACGCCCCCCGCTTGGCCCGTCTGTCCCTGGAGAGCCGCTCCCTGCAGGACGTCTTGTTGCATCGTGAGTCTCTGTCGTTTCCCCTGGGCAGGATAGAAGTGAATTCTGTCTTAATCCGGGTGAAAATACCAATCCCAGAGATCTCTAGGAATTCTTTTCTATCCTTGTGAATCAGTGTGAGGCATTAATTCATTTTTAATAACTACTGAAGTTCCTCATTTGGATCTGCCATTTGTACAACCCAGATAGCACCGGCATGTATCAACTAAACCAGATAAATCACTTCCAAAGATCTTGGAGTGACATCAGTTATGTTTCCCTTATAGATATAGTTCTCCACTAAGTAGACATCCAGAGAGAGCTCATTGAGCCCTAGCCATCCTTTGTCTCTGTGCCTTGTAGGTAAACCTAAACTGGGCCAGGAGTTAGGCCGGGGACAGTATGGTGTGGTGTACCTGTGTGACAACTGGGGAGGCCATTTCCCCTGTGCCCTAAAGTCCGTTGTCCCTCCAGATGAGAAGCACTGGAACGATTTGGCATTGGAGTTTCACTATATGAGGTGAGTCATGGTTCTGTCTGGGCAAGGATGCATCAAAGCAGCCAGAGGTCTGGCTTAAGTTCTCTACCCCAAGCATAGGGGATGTCTGCTGGTGTCCTTTCTCTGCATTTCTCAGTGCTGGGTTGTTGTAGACTAGTGCTTAAAACTGGACTCCCTCCAAGGCCAAGGCTGCTTTGGTAGCCTAAACCCCTTCCTGTTCCAATTTCCTTTCCCTATCTTTCTATGTTACCTTCCTCCTTGGTCATAGAGGCTCAGCTATTTTAAGGTTCCTGGCCTGGGAAGTGGGTCAGATTTTTGTCCTCTGGCCCAATCTAGAGGTCCTTTCTTCCCTGAGTCCTGGCATGCCTTACAGGAATGGGGCATGTGGTTTGCAGCCCAGACCCCTCTCCCTCCTACCAGGTCTCTGCCCAAGCATGAGCGTCTGGTGGATCTTCACGGTTCCGTCATCGACTACAACTACGGCGGTGGCTCCAGTATTGCGGTGCTGCTCATCATGGAGCGGCTACACCGGGACCTTTACACAGGGCTGAAGGTGAGGGCAGGGAGATAACACAGGCCAGCCTGACTACTAAATTCACAGCTTTCCTTACTCTTCTTCCCTTCCTTCTCAGAACTTCCAGGTTTTCGCAAAGTGTTGTTAGTTTCTTTGATTCCCTTGTTGCTTGATTCCAAGAGACCTTCTTGGATATTTTAATCTCAGAGATAGTTCCTTGCTATAGGGTATATTTAGCATATCTAGACTACTGTCATCTGTAATTTTAACTTTCCATGGTGGTAGTGAAGTCCAGACTCCTTAGTGTAATACAAAGGCTTCTCATAACTCTCCTGCTTCTAAGGTTCTTAGTGGGTAGGTGAGTCGCTCTTTGTTCAGTCAAAAAACATTTACTGAGCATCTACTATGTATAAAATATTTTGCTTTTTGTTTACCATCTGGCTTTCACCTACATAACTCTTCTGAATGTGCTTTCCCAAAGGTTACTAGTAAATTCCTAATTAGCCTGTCCAATTACTTGTTCTTGAAACTGTTGATGAGACTTTTCTTTTTGAACCTCTTTCTTTCATTGGCCACTTCATCTCTCTTTACACTGTTCTTTATGAATCTGTCATTGCTTTAGCTATTGCATTTATGCAGATGATTCTCAGATCTTTATCTTCAGCCCTGGCAGCTCTCCTGAGCACTTGTCCTAGTTTTCCAGTTGTCTGCAGGACATTTCCACCTGGATATGTGTCTGGTATTTTGTACTTAAGCCCAAGACTGACATCATTGTCTTCCCTCTCAAAACCAACTCCTCCTCAACTGCTCTTTCTGTGTATAACTATTATCTAAGTTATCCAAATTCAAAACCTTAGTCATTTTTGACTCCTTCCTCTCCTTCATCCTCCACATCAGATTATTTGTCAAGTTCCACTGAGTCTGCTGCATCAGTGTCTCTGTTATCCACCTCATCCTTCCATTCTCAGAACTATCGCTATAGTTGAGACCCTTGTTACATCTTACCTAAATTGTTTCAGTAGCCTTCTAACTGGCCTTCCTACCTCCAGTCTCTCCCCCTTCCAGTGTAACCTATATGCAGCTACTAGGTTAACTTTCCTAATGCAATGCTCTGGTCCTTTGACTTCCCTGATTAAAAACAAAACCACCCTTCGGTATCTCTCCATTGCCTGTTGAATAACATTTAAACTTCTCAGTTTGCAGTTTGACTTTAACCAACCTTTGTGGTCTTATCTCTCTGTACACCCCTGTCTTCCTATGCCATATACACCAGCCAGATCAGACTCCACTTTTAACACAAATGTGCTTTCTTTATGCTGCTTCCTCTGTCTGAAATGCACCTCTACCCCTTCCCCTCCCAATTTCTGCTTATGGAAATTCTATACATCTTTCAAGGCCCTTCTCAAATACCACTTCCTGATTCCCTCAGCCAGATGTGATCTCTCCCTCCTTTGAACACTCATAACTCTTTGTGTCCCTTTCGTGGAATTAATCTTCCATTCTGCCTCGTGTTTCAATTATCTGTCGTCCTCGTTTCCATTTTTTAAGATCTTTCATAAGAGCAGGAACCGCATCTTTCTCACCATATTTGTTCCCCATGGTGCCATGCTCATAGCAGGTTACTTAATAAATATTTGTGGCATTGTGGGGGATATTAGGACATCAACAACACAGACTGTACACTCAAAAAACAGAAATCTAGTTGAGGAAGAGCTATACCATAGGAAAAGATAATTAAAAATACAAACGAGCATATGATTGAGAGATAAGTGATATAGACCTAAGAATATGTGAGCATGTGGTTTGCATCCCAGACCCTTCTCCCTCCTACCAGATATCTGCCCAAGCATGAGCTGGGATAGACAAAGAAAACTTCATAATGTAGGTAGGGCTAAGGCTGGCCCTTAAAGGATGGGTAAGATTTGGATAGGCACAGAGATGTCTAGGAGAAGCATGCTTCCAGCAGGAGGAGTAGTGATCCAAGAAGAAATGTCCAAAGTTTGTTGGGGATGGGGGGAGCAGTTAACAGACAAATCAGACTGAAGCAAGGGGTTTGTTTAGTGAAATAGTAGGAGATAGGTTAGAAAGATACACTAGGAATCACTTATGGAGGGCCTTGAATACCATGCTAAGGAATAGTCTTTTTAGCCTTTGAAGGTTTTTGAATGAAAGACAGAAGTTATATAGCTAAGCTTTGAGTTAGATGTTGAATTTCCTTTGTCCAAAGCAACAACAATAAAGGGAAGTGCATAGCTTTTCTTAATCTGCCTGCAGAGAAGTTCCCCTTCCCTCTATAGTGGGAGCTATGGGGGAAGAGGAAAGCATTTACCACAGAGCATCTGGGTGGGTCCCCTCCCACTGAATCCACATGGTGCCTGGCATATGGAGGCCTCAACAGCAGGAGAGGAGGAAATGTAGAAATGCTACAAGGGAAATGCTACACCGGGAACTTTGTGAAACGTGAAACTGATCATTGGTTTAATGTGAGAAATAATTCTCAGTGACTTTTTTTCTCCATTTCTGAGAAGCTAAGATTAGTTCCCATTGTCCCATTCTGGTATGGTGCATAATAGAGAGCTTCATTAGTACTTCATGGTGGGTGATGTAACATCTGTTACGATGTAGAGCGTCCTGGGTTGGCAACTGGTCAAAGCGTTATGGACTTTTGGGCATTTGTAACCCACAAAACCAAATCTGGGTCAAGTGTGGTAAAACGAGCCCCTTATATGTAGTAGTAAGAGGAAATCTGTTTGAGAGATGTAGAAATGCTTACAGTTAAGGCTGAAGGGCAGTTCTGTTGTTGATGCAGGTTCCCTTCTTGGTCCAGGTATTATCCATGAGACCGTCCCTTCAATCTTTTGGTTGTACCTAGTCCTAGCCAAACGTGGGGATTGTCCAGCTTACCGCATTGTGACTCCCAAGAGATCTGATTTGTACTTGTCTTTTTTAAAGTTTCCTGTTCCTTGCTTTACTTCTCTCCTTTTCTATACATCCCCAGTCTTTATGTCATATTTCTCTCTTTCTATACTGGAGTACATTTGTCTCTTTGATAACCCCACTGAAGGTGTCTTCATTTATTTGAACAACCAAGAAGTGGGAAGTTATCCTGAAGATTACAGGTGAATTTTGTTATCTCTCACAGGCCGGGCTGATTCTGGAGCTGCGCCTGCAGATAGCTTTGGATGTAGTGGAGGGAATTCGCTTTCTACATAGCCAGGGGCTTGTCCATCGTGACATCAAACTAAAAAATGTGCTGGTAAGGGCTGTTCCTAGGACACTTGCTCTTGTGGGCTAAAGGGCCTGAGAGAAGGAATTTGGGTGGGAGAATTGAAGTGGAGGGATGATGGGCATGCTAACCAAAAGCTGGATCTTGGCCTTGTGGCCAGAGACATTTGGGGATGGGGAGAGTCTGAGTGGAGAGAATCCAAGCTGTTTTCACTGTGCCTCAGGCCTGGCCTGTTCTGCCTTGGCTGGAAATGGAGATTGTGCTCAAAGACGGATGAAATAGATCTAGGTAGCTTAGCAGGCAAAAAGTTATATTTTTGCTTTAACCTTGTTATCTCAATTACAAAGAATTATTTTTTGATTCATTCTTCTTTGAAAGGAGTTTTGATATTTCATCATCAGGGCCATATATTTCTGGTGACTCTTGGTATAGAAATAACAGCTATTTGGAGGAGAAGTCCTCAAAATTTCTTAAAATGTAGCCTTATCCTTAGGAAATTCCCAGTCAGCTAAGCTGTGAGACTCAGTCTTTTTTTGGATTTCTAAGGAAGAAAGCTACTGGGACTCTTAAGACTCTTTGCCCAAGTGATCAGGGAGCCTCCTCTTGCCTTAATCTTCAAACTTGTGGTATATATTTTGGGGCTTGAGAGGGCAGTTAGGATCAGAAATGCTTCTCCAGATGAACTTGTTTTGCAAGTGAATGTGAAGTCCAGAATGATCAAAAGACAAAAATCACCAATTTCTGTAAACTAATGTTATTTTCTTTTTTTTGATGGGGTCATGAAACTAGTAAATCAGGAGAATGTTGTAGCTATGATTTATACAAATTTTAGCAAAGTATTTGATCAAGTCTTTAATGCTATTGTGGAAAAAATAGACATCATAGCATAGTTAGGTGAATTCAAATTTTGAATGGCTGAACCCAAAGAGTGTTATTAATGGTTCAATGTAAGTGGAGAAGGAGGTCCATGATGAAGTACCCTAGGGACCTGTGCTTGGCCCTGCAACATTTCACCTTTATTAGTGACTTGAATAAAAGCATAGATAGCATACTTGTTAAATTTTCAGCTGATAGTTGGAAGGGATAGTTAACCCACTGAATGACAGTCAGGATTCCAAAAGATCTTAATAGGCTAGACTATTGGGTCAGAATGAATGTCTTACCTTTGGGTAAGACACTTTACAAGTGAGTTAGGCAGCAGTTTATCTGAAAAAGATCTTAGAATCAATTCCAAGTTTAATGAGTCAACAGTGTGATATGTAGGGCTGCCAAGAAAACCAGGACAATCGTAGGTTATACTGAGAGACACCTGCCTATCAGGAATAAGGAGGTGACCATCCTGCTGTTCCCTGCTCTGCTCCAATCACATCTAGACCACTGTATTGAGTGTGGGGTACCACATCTTCAGAAGGACATTGAAAAACTAGAAACCATCCAGAGAAGGATAACCAGGGTGGCTGGGGGGGGAGGGAGATGGACCTTAATTTCATATCATTTAAGGATTAGTTGAAAGATTAAATGATGTTTAGCCTGGAAAAGAGGGAACATAAGAATTGTCTTCCAGCATTTGAAGGCTTCTTACACTTTTCTCTTTGGCCCCACGGGCAATGGATGAAAGGTAAAAAGAAGCAAATCTGAGCCTGATAGAAAGAAAAACTTGATAACAATTAGACCTATCCAGAAATGGAATGGTATGGGAAGTAGTGGGTTTCTCCTTCCTTGGAGGTTTTTAAGCAGAGACTAAATGAACACATTGGGTGTGTTGTAGAGGGAATTTTTTTCAGGTATATATTGAGCCAGATGGTCACTGTGATTCTTTTTAACTCTGAAATTCTGAGATAACTAAAATGCAGGATATAGGTCCTCTTTGCAAAAGGTTGGGAGAAGAGTATCCTTACCTGACTCTTGCCTTGCTTTGTTTGCAGCTTGACAAGCAGAACCGAGCCAAGATCACTGACCTGGGTTTTTGCAAGCCTGAGGCTATGATGTCTGGCAGCATTGTGGGTACCCCAATCCATATGGCCCCAGAGCTCTTCACAGGTGAGGCTGGTGGAGATAATGGGGTTTAGGATATGGTTCAGCAACTTCCTTAGCTATGAGTACCACCAAAAGAGCTAAGCCATACCCTTGCATACAACTGACAAGCCATTGACCTAGGTAAGGGAGAAGGAAGCAAGGGGGAGAGTAAAAGATGGAGGAGGAAGAAGCTTTAGGAGAAGAGGAAGGAAGCAGAGAGCCAGGTAGAGAGTATCAAGGGGTGGGCAATCATTAGGGCAACAGTATACCACCAACAGATGTTTCAAGTACCATTCTCACAGGCTGGTTTCAGATGCTGCTGATGCACAATCAGTGAACTGGTCATCAGGCATAGTATTCAACACACATACTATGGGCCCAGGATTGTGCATAGATGCTGTGGGGGAAGAAGACCAAGTGTAAGCAATGGTCTCTGCCTTCAAGGAGCTTATAATCTAGCAAGAGAGACTGTGCTAAAATAGGTGAAATAATTAGTGACCAATGTAGAATGCCACAAATAAGGAAGTGCAAATGATGTATGTCATATTGTAATTGCTTCACAAGATCAGAGAAGGGGGAGGCCTTATGGAGAAAGTAGAATCTGAGATGAACTCTGAAGGATGCATAAGAGTTTCTGAATGGCGTAGGGGAAAAGGGAAGACATTTCCAGGGAGTTGGGATTGGGAACATTAATGACAGCAGAGTGACAAGGCTGGCTAGAGCAGTAGGTTCATTTTTGGAAAGTCCTGGGAAAACTAATCTCATTATGGAAGACCTTGAAATCCAGGCAGGGGAATGAATATATTAGTATGAAGACAGTGAAGGTTTTGTTTTGTTTTGTATTTAAACAAAGGAGTGGCATAATAAAAGTTCTGGGGTAGTGGGAAAAAATTAGACTGGAAGAAAGATGCCAAGGTTCTTATCTTGGCTGTGCCATCAACCACCTGTATGACCTTGGGCAAGTTCTCATACCTCTTTGTTTCCTCCCTTGTAAAGTGGAATAATTAGAGGAGATGATCTCTAAGGTTCCATATTTCCATCCCTAGTCAGGCTCTAATATTCTCTGATTGTGTGAGAGGTTTGTAGATTAATTTTTAAAAAAGCAATATGTATTATGCAACATGTTTTTATTAATGTGTAATGTGGATTAGAAGAGAGACAAGCTAGGGAGGTTATTATAGAAATAAAAGTATGAGGATTAGGTTGGTGGTGGTTGAAATGGTGAAGGGACACATTTGGGATAATTTTATTTTTTATTTTTTACATTTGGGATAATTTTAAAGGAAGAGAGAACAGGACTTGGTGACTGCCGGATATGGAGAAAGAAGGATGATTCAAAGCTGACTCCATAGTTTTGAGCCTGGATGCCTAGGACAGGAAAACTGGAAGAGGGGATCTGAAGTTAGAATTTCCTTTAGTTGGCATCTCTCCCAGAATCTCGTCCACAGCCATTTACAAAGTAGAACAATCCAAGGCTCACCTGTCAAGAACAGTCCTGTGCCTTGCCTTGTCATTTCTTCCTTCAAAATGCCTCTTGAATTGGTCCTTTACTCTAGGTTTCCATTGTCACTATTTGAATTCAGGCCTTTGTAACTAGATTATTTTAACAGCCTCCTATCTAGTTTTCATCCCTTGAGTAGATTTTCACTTTAGTCTTTCCTGCAGGTTTTTGTCAGACTAATTCTTCTTTTTTTTTAAAAATTTTTATTTAATTTTCAGTTAGCAATCATTTATTTTTTCTCCATCTCATCTCTGCCCCTCCTGTGGGGAAAAAAAAAGAAAAAAATAAACCTTTGTAACAAATATGTGTAGTTAAACAAAATGAATTGGCCATGTCCAAAATGTATTTCTCATTCTATGTCCTGAGTCTATGACCTTTCTGACAGGAAGTAGATGGATAGCCTGCTTTATCATCTGTCCTCTGAAATCGTGGTTGGTCATTGCGTTAGAGTCCTTAAACCTTTCAAAGCTGTTTGTCTTTGTGATGATGTTATTGTATAAAATTGTTCTCCTTGTCTCATTTCACAAGACTAATCATTCTAAAACACCACTGCTCTACGAATAACAATAGGTTGTTGTTCACTAAATTAAGTCCAAACTGCCGTGCCTGGCTTTCAATATCCTATACACCTGGCCCCATCCAACCTGATTTCCCATTACTTCTTAGTATATACTCTTTGCTTAGCGTGATCTTCTTGTTCAGTTCAACTTCAGTTCCGCAAACTGAATTCATTCATTTATTGAAAAGAAATGTACCATTGTATTAAATTCTGTAAACTGAAAGTGGCACTTTACATGGAACAAAATATTTTATGTAGCAGTTTGTTTCTTTACAAAGAGCAAACTCTGTCTCAAAAACATTTTTATTCAATGGCACAGTTTGTTTGTTTGGAGAGGCAGAGAGATGGCACAGTGCATAGTTTGGGAGCTGGAATCAGGAAGAGCTGTACCTGGATCCCACTTCCAGTTGTAGCTGTGTGACTCCAGAAGTCAGCCAACCTCTGTGTCTCTCAGCTTTATCACCAGCAAAATGGGGATGACAGCACCGATCTCCCAAGCCATTATGAGGATCAAGAGACGGCATATCCACAAACATTTATATCATCTGTTATTTGCAGAGTACAGTGGTAGGTCCTGGTGGAGATCAAAGTTGAGGTAGAAAAGGGTCTATGTCTTCATCAGAGTTTACAGTCTACTTAGGGGACAAAACATGTACTATACGTTTAGTATGTAATACTGTAGTAAGTGATAACTATGGTACGTAATAACTTTTTTTAAAACATCTTAAAATGCTGGTAATTGTTAGGTATTGAAACTAATGTTTTTTCTAGAATTTTTTTTCCATTGTATCAGAACACACACTATTCATTCTTTCCTTCATGCTTTTGTTCATTGTTATTGTCTTTATTAAACTTTATTCCTGGTTGTTACTAATTATTGGCATTCCTTTGCAAAGTCACTTTACTTTCATGATCCTTAGCTTCATCATCTATGAAATGTAGATAATAAAAATCTGCCTTGGCAACCTTTAGGGTTGTTGTGACACTCAAAGTCATAGATGTGAAAGGCCTCTGGAGAAAAAAAGGACAAAGTTCTATACAAATACACTGTGAGTTGTGAGTGCACTGTGTTGCTGTCCCACTCACTGGCTTATCTTTGCCCTCTCTTAATGCAGGGAAGTATGACAATTCTGTGGATGTCTATGCTTTTGGGATTCTCTTCTGGTATATCTGCTCAGGCTCCGTAAAGCTCCCTGAAGCATTTGAAAGGTGTGCCAGCAAGGACCACCTCTGGAACAATGTGCGCAGAGGTAGGAATGCCAAGCCCTGCCCATTTCATCTGTTTCTGTCTGCTGACCAGAGTGTGTGGGAGGAAGGACGCCTTAGACAGGCTAGCTCTGTCTCCTGTACAGCCTGACACAGGGAGTGAGCAGTGGCACCATTCTTAGAATTTCCAAGCTGTGAGAGATCCATTTTCCTTTCCCTAAGGAATTTTGTATTTCACTCTCCCAAAATAATGATGATCAATGTTTTTTTCCCTGAAAATACAGAAAAGGTAGTTCTCTCTCCTCCTGTATTATTTTAGTTTTTTTCTTCTCTTCATTTTGTAGTTTGTATCTAATATAAATCTTACAGCAACTTAAAAAAATCAACCCTTAACTTTACTGTTTTTCATCTTAAACTCCAGTTGGGCACTGAAGCCATAGAAGATAGATGTCTTTCACTTGTAATTGCATTCCTACAGACTACCTCCGTTCTCATGTCCATATTTCTTCTTTTCAGGAGCCCGTCCAGAGCGACTCCCAGTGTTTGATGAGGAGTGCTGGCAGCTGATGGAAGCCTGTTGGGATGGTGATCCCTCCCGGCGGCCTCTCCTTGGCATTGTTCAGCCCATGCTCCAGGGTATCATGGACCGGTTGTGCAAGTCAAACTCCGAGCAACCAAGCAGAGGACTGGATGATTCTACTTGAAGGCTCTTTCTCTGTCTCATTCTCCCACCCTCTCTCTTCCTCTTTCTTTTGTTTTTAAACTCCCTGGTTGTAGGAAGAACTTGGCGTTGTATACATCGTAGGAAGCACCTGAGGGTACTGTTTTTGACTGTGTAACTTGAGACGACCTCAAACTGTGGTGACTTCAGTCAGCTGTGAGAAGTTGGATTGTTGTCCCACCATATTTGTTCATTCTGTATTCACCAATGGTCCAAGCTGTCTCTTTGGGGAAAAAGACTAGTCATCTAGGTCACAGAAAAAAGCTGAAGAGTGGGAGATTTGGCCTTCAGAGCCAGAGCAAATCCCACCTCCTCATTTCAAAGATGCATGAATTTTTCCAAAGTACTGACTGGATGGGGTATTGTGATATCAGTAATATGAAGAGATATCATCTGGCTGACTTTTGTTCTGTCAGGGTTAATTAGTTTGGTTCCATCCAGTGGTCAGAATAGAACCTCAGAAATGTCAAGTTTAGGTGATGGAATTTGGGGAGAGGAAAGGTGAGAGAGGGCCGGAGGGAGAAAGAGAATTCTGTAGAGATGTGTTTGGTTCCTGCTGACTGTAACCAGAGCTTCTTGCCTGCAGTGGCATGAAGCCTCGAGTTTGTGTGGCTGTAAATAAAGTCAGCAGTGCTCTTTGCATTGCCAGATATGTTTACATTTGGGGAGAAGGTTTTACCCTTATACCCAGTTTAAAATGTTTGGGTGAGACCCAAGAAATAAGAAACACCCTGGAGGGAATTGGCTCTTATGGGGGTTACCTGTGTTCAGACCCCCTAGAAAGATAACCGGTTTGTGTTTTTCAATGTTTGTAAAACAAATCTTTCTTTTTATTTTTTGAACCTAACACACTGACATTTTTAAATCCTGCTTATTATCAGACATTTTAACCGAGCTTCCTTCTACTTTTTGTTCTTCTCTCTGTCTTTTAAATATCATTTGCTAGAAGACAAAATAGTGGATGAGAAAGAAAAGAGCACTGTAGCAAGTCCATGAGTGTGCACAATTACTGCATCTATCTTGTCTGATTAGGAGGGTCACTCCTTGTTTTGCAGTTGGCAGTGGAACATAGAAATGTCCTTGGGGAGTCTTCACACAGAGGAGGTTAAGGGGAAGATATCTGGTTCTGGTATGTGAGGGACTCTATGGTCATCTCAGTTCTGGACCTCAGCGTATCAGCTACCCAACTCTCTCTTTTAAAGAAGAAGAGTAAAGAGAGGACAGAATTGACAGGGTTGGTTGGCTGGGATGAGAAGCTTCCACCTGTCACTCCCTGTGTTACAGCTGTAATCTGCTGTTCCTAAAGTGTCTGGAACACATTGCAACCAGGATCCTTCCAGTTGGAAGTACAGAATGAACGTTGCATTTGTTGCTGGAATTTTCTAGGCAGAAAGATTGTCTTGACTATTAACATGCAGCAAAAGGAGAGTGTTAGAACCTAGGGTTTGAAGTCTGGCCTGATTGACTCTTTAGCTATCCTGAGCAGAAGTTCCAATTATAATCAAGAACTTTCAGTTGCAATTGAAGACATAGCCAGCCATTTATCTTTGAGTCCTTAGGCATCACATTCCTTGTAGTGGACTATCTAGTGCAGCTCTTCCTAGCTAAGAAAATGCCTTAGGGGGGACAGCTAGGTGGCACAGTGGATAGAGCTCCAACTTTGGAGTCAGGAAGACCTGAGTTCAAATCTGGCCTCTGACACAGCACTTACTAGCTGTGTGGCCCTGGGCAAGTCACTTAACCCCATTGCCTAGCAAAAAAAACCAAAACAAAATTTAAAAAAAAAAAGCGAAAAAGAAAATGCCTTAGAACTTCAGCATCTGCTATTACTTCAGGCTTACCAACTAGTTTTCTTTTTGGGCTCTGTAGGTGTCAACATCTTTGGTAGGGGGAACCTAAGTGTCCAGTTAGGGAAGGTGAGGGTTTGTATTTATTCTCTTGGAAAGTAGAGAATGTAGAGAAAAATAGTACAGACATCCATTCTGTATAGACTTCCAAAAAAGTTTTGTACAGTTTCTGCTTTGTACCTATGTCCCCTTACATTTTAATCAGCTATAATTAGAAGTGGGTTTAAAAAATAAAAGTCTAGACCGAGTTTAGCATTCACCACACAGACACCCACAACGTCTGATATCCTTAGCTCATGGCTACATACACACATATCAGTGTACTCCTCCCCCATACACCAGAATTTTTGTTCAACCCTGTCTCTGTTAGTTTGCTCTCTTGATTAATGTTTTTTTTTCTATAACACTCCTCTGTGTGTCTGTGTAAGTGTATGAATGAATATGCATTTATTTCTGTGTATGTATCCATACATACATGGTACATATCTACATACCTATAAATATATACACTTGTACATATATGTGTATATATATGTATACATTTTTTTCCCCCTGCGAGCCAGGGTGAGATTAAGGACAAAAGAATCTGAGAAAATCAAGGTGCACACTGTCCAGGCCAGCCAGAGTCTTGGGTGCTTGGAGGATTACTTTAGACACTCAGCAAGTTTACTATAGGAATGAATATGTTTGCTTTTGTTTTTCTATTGTCAGCTGTGTTTCCTCATCTTCTGACATTGCATTGTTGTTGAGGTGAATGAATGTCATGAATTGTATTGTACTGTATTATACCTTGGGAGACACTAGATTGTTCAATCTCTCTTCCCTAATGCAATGCAATGGCCATTCAGATCTAGAGGATGGTATTTTGGCAGGTGTCGTGAAGACTGTATCTGGTCGTGGGTTACACAAACAAATACCCAGCCTCGTGAGGACAGTTGTGGTTGGGGGAGGGAGGGAAGAAGAGGAGCTTATGGAGAAATGATTCTTTTCTGTACTCTCTTCTAAATAAAGTAGCATCGCTAGTTAGCTTCAGCCTAAGAACACTCGCCTGACATTAAAAGATCAAGAGTCTTTCTTCTAAGTCAGTTCAAAGTAAGGAATACTAAGAGGTTAGGAGTCTCAACTGACAACCTTGCTATGATTCCCAGAAGCTCATTCAGACTACTGAAAGCTGAGGAATGTTTACAGAAGGTAAGAAGATACCTGCTACACAGGAATATCCTTGCTCTTTTACACATAGTACAGAGCAGCCTCCTTTCCTCAGTGAACCTTTTCCACTTCTCTGGAAGCCAGCCTCATTAGGAAGGTGCCAGCTGTTCAGAGACCATCCAAAGATGGAGTCATTTTCTAGGGAACCAAATGCTATTCCCAAATTATTTTAAATTTCAGAACCATAAACGTTTGAGGAATGGGAATGAGAATTGCCAGGCATAGAAGTTAGATGAGCTGCAGCTATTGACTACAGTATTCTGTTCTTGGCTACATTTTAATGTCTTTGAATAGGCTGTCAGAGTCCAAATGGACCACACTGCAGCTTTTAGAAAGGCTTTGTTCCCCTTACAGGTAAAACAGGGTGACCCAAGTGCAGGAGGGTGGTAGGTGCTCAGCATCTGATTGCTGTGAAGTTTATGGAACCCAATGGTTGTATCACCTGCACGAGCAAAACTTTCTTCATTGGCTTATCCTTTTACACTTAGAAGCAGAAGAGGAACAGTGTTCCTTCTGGCACTTGCAGGAATAGTGATGCCCTTGTAGCCATTTCTTGGAGAGAATGGGTGTTTAGTAGTTAATTTGATTCAGACATGGTGATGCCAAAGTCCTGCCTTACTAGTGTAGGGTCAGCAGCCTCCTCTGGCCACTGAATAGCTGCTTTTCTGTCTTTACTAATTTTTTTTTTCTTTTTGGTGGCTTAACTTCTAGATTTGCTGGGAAAACCACCTTTTACCTTTTCTAAAAATAAGAATATTTTTGCTGATTCCCAGCGGGTCTGGAGCTAGGGCTAGGGGAGAACTAGAGGAATTGGAAATTCCCTCAGGACTTCAAGTAGTACTACTGCTCTTAAAGAGGTTTTATTTTTAAGTTCATTTATGTGCTTTGTTAACATCCAGTTCAATTACAGTAATCATAGGGGCTCTGTGCGTGTGGATGTGTGACATGCACCTGGTACTAAAAAGGCCAACTTGCCAAGAGAGCCAAGGAAAAAAATGGTCAAAACCATTTGTTGTATGTCTTTGTGTAGTGCTTTTTGTTTGTTTTTGTCTTAATTTTAAAGGACTGATGTTTATTACAGTGTTAAAGGAAAATGTAACAAACTAAGTATTTAGGATAAAAGTGCAATAACAAAAGAAATTACTTTGAACAAACTCCAATTCTTATGACCTACTTTGTGCTACACCAAGTTTTTTTCATAACATCGTTACTGCAGGTCATATTGTTTTGTTTTTAAGAGACGCGACTGTGGGTTAAGACTTCATTTAGTGTAATTTTGAATGGTCAGGTTTGGTTTTTATAGATTATTCTGTATACATGTTGGGATACACCAAACACCAGATGTGCTGTATAATAAAGATCACATTAACGTTTTAGGTTTGCTTCTGCCTTGCCCTGATATTCCCTTCTTGACTATACTTGAACCCACTAGGAAGGTTTGGAGTAGCATCTTTCCCACTATCTCTTTGTGATATCTCCGGGCAATCAGTCAATGCCTGCTAATCAAGGTAAGTGCTGGGGATGCACATCCAAGTGAGTTAGTCCCTGACTTTGGGGAAATGGCTTATTTGCAAAGAAAAGACTCAGCCAGTGTTTCTCATCACCATTAGTTCTGGTTACTGCTCAATATTGGGTTTCATTCATTTAATAAACATTTTGACACCTACTTGGTGCAAATGACCTCATTAACATAGTGCTGTAGGGCTAAAAAACACTGAAAATATAGTCACCCCCCCCCAATATTATTTTACAGATGGGCAAACAGCAGCACCGAGGGGCCAGGTGATTTAGGGCCTAATCGAGCCCTGTTGGGCAAAAGTGAGTTGAGTTGTGTGAATTTCTTCTCCACTGGCTTCCATGTTCAGTTCTTCCCCTCCTCTTCTTGGTACCAATTTTTCTTGTGACTTTATCATACACTTGACTCCCTAGGTTTTTGGAGAAAAGGAGTCTTTTTTTGTTTTGTTTTGTTTTTTGTTAAGGCAATTGGGGTTAAGTGACTTGCCCAAAGTCACACAGCTAGTAAGTGTCAAGTGTTTGGTCTGAGGCCAGATTTGAACTCAGGTCCTCCTGGCTTCAGGGCCGGCGCTCTATCCACTGTGCCACCTAGCTGCCCCAAAGGAGTCTTTTTTTTTTTTGCCAAGGTTCGGGGTTCCTCCCTGTGCCCCCCCCACCCCCTTTTGATGAGAAACTGCTCCTGGGTAACCACATGACTTGCCAGCTCAGCTGACATTTCTGGGCTATAACTGTGGCAGAGAAATGGGGTGGGTATCCCCTTGGGCTTTAAAATAGTGGGTGCAACTGAAACTTTTTAAGGTCACTTTTTACAAAATGCATGTTTAGTTCCAGAAAATTCTTTTCTTCCTGGAATGAAGGCATTTCTGTTGTGATGTTATATTGTATGTTACAGTCAGTCGGCAGTGTTTTTTTTTAAAGATGGAAAAAACTTTGATCACCACAGGCTTTTTTTAAAAATTGAAAAAATAATTAAAATGTTTATATACTTAAAAACTGACTCTTGACAAAAAGGGTAATTCCTCAACTTAATGTAGTCAATGTAGAAAGGCTCTAAGTCTCCAATGATTTCTTGAGTGGAAGGTCAAGGCAATCACAGGCCTGGGTGGAAGGGAGTGCTTTTTCATGTCTGCCCTGGTATAAGAGCATAATTAAGAAGTTGCCTCAGACAGATATTTATGCATTGTTTATTCATCATGAGCACAAAGCAGGAAACAAGTCTCCATGGTTAAATGAACTTCTTACACAATGTGGCCAAATTGTAAATTTTGTTAAGAGCGATACACTAAATTTGTCAAAGATAAGGTTTAAGCATACATATTTACCACTTCATACTGTAGTTGAATTTCCACTTGAAATTGAAATATTTTAAAATGAAAAGATTTAAATCTGGTTAAATATTTTCAAGAGGAAGAATATTTGTAAACTATCTTTACTTACACATGAATTAAATTTGAGTCTCAAAGGTACCTATGACCTTAAGCTTGCCATCAAATTGACATTTAGGAAAGGGGGAAAAAATGGCAGTATTGACAAATTATTTATGAAATGTTACCTTCATTTTCTGAATTCTTAAATGAATCAGACTTGGAAAATGAGAAACATCACAAGCATTATTTGTGAACATTGTTTTCTTGCATATGCAATAATTACCGTCCATCAGGTGACTGGTGTTGGGAAAATTTGCAATTAGATACATTTATAAATTACCAAAACATGATTTCCGTTTGTATACTACCCAAACAACCACTTCAGGGTCACTGAAGAAAAAAATCTGGCAGAAATCTCTTCAGATTGAAGATTTACTAATAACTTATTTTGATGATTAGAACTCATTTTGGGGTAAAAGTGAAGAAAGAATATTCATCTCTCCAAAAAGACAATGTAAATTTTACTCCCCTTTCCACTACATTGCAAAGCAGCATTTTTACCTGGACAGTAAGAAAATTAAAGCTTAGAAATTGGTTGGTGTTTGGTCTTGCTTTTGTAGTTACATCTTTAACTCCAAGAACACAAAAATTAGTGAGTTCTCACTCAATAACAACAATCACACTGATTATCTTCAAAGATATTTCGCATAACATTTATGTATCTCTTTAAATATAGTCTTACTGTGAACTGATTTTATTTCAATGCTGAAAATGAATGAAAAATTTCAATTTTACTGTTTAGTGGATACACATTCCTGTATGATTTTAGTGGTCTCCAGGAAAAAGCAAAAACACTTTATAATAGGGGTAGCTCTGCCACCCCTGGACAGTAAACCAAAAGGTACAGTTTTCAAACTGCCTCCTCTTGGCTGTGGTTGTACCTCTAGGAATTCTTTATTCAGCCTCTGAACTATGCTTCTGTTTCCATCTGCTCATTCTGGGTTTGGTCCTCAGCACTCAAATTTTCCAGGCTCTTCACTCCAGCAACAGTTTCACTAGAAAACCAAATCAAAAACTTAGCTTTTCATATTTATTAATTTCTGAAGGGCAATGGTTCATAACCTTAATATCAAATTTTATGAATTTCCAACACGATAGTAATTTTATTAGTATCTACATTTTGAGGTACACCGTTGGAAGGAGACCTCCAGCTTTAGCTTTCAGATTTAACTGTTGGCCATGGAACGATTAGAGATTAAAGACAATAATAGCTACCGTCTTGCCAGTGGGAAGTCCCGGCACTTTTTCTTAAATAATGCTTTCAAATTACCCTACATTTATATTTTTGTCACATCACTCTACTCTGAGGGGGCCCATTAATTCACAATCCCTATGTTCGATTTTTTTGGGGGGGGCCACAATGCCTACAAAGTTCTAAATATTCTGAGTTGGGACCCTTAGTTTCATACACTGACTTTTCTGGTAGTGGTTAATATGCCCTTTGAGAACTGTATTTTAAAACATCCTAGCAACAGAGGGACTGTCACATGCACTGGAATGTATGAACTCAGGATGCATACCTACACACATAAACATCTCTTATTCTCCCTTGGAAGAAGGGAATATTTGTTATGTATACATACATACATATATTTTATAATTTCAATCTAATTAGAATAAAATTTCAATCCAAATCTCCCAGCTCTAAATCCAGTGCTCTTTCTATTCTTAGTAAAGATAACTTTCCCTTAGCTGTCCTCTCCAGTTCTTGTGGTTGCATACAGAACTATTAAGCAGTTTTAAAAGTTAAATAATAGGAACTATATTAATAGTCCAACAAAGAGAAGGATGTCTTTGTTAAGAATAGAAAGAGCTGGAGGAACTGCATTAAAATTTTGGCCCATTACCTGCTGTCTGTATGATAGCAGCTGCCTAGGAGGTGATGAATTCTCTGTCAAGAGAAGTTAAAGCAGATCCCAGATAAGCACTAGTCAAAGTATGTGTGTTCACAGAGGCAGTTAGGTGGCACAGTGACTACACTGCTGGGCCTGGAGTGGGGAAGACCTGAGTTCAAATCCAGCCTTAGACATTTTACCAGCTGTGTGACCCTGGGCAAGTCATCTAACCTGTTTGTGTCATCTGTAAAATGGAGATAATGATAGCACCTACCTACCAGAGTGGTTATGAGGATCAAATGAGATAATTGTAAAGTGCTTAGCACAGTGCCTGGCACAAAGTAAGTGCTATATAAATGTTAGCTATTTTTATTTTTATTGTTATCACTCTTGGTTCTTTAAGGTTTACAAAGCACTTAGCCCACCCTAACTCTATAGGGAGAAGAGCAAATATGATCACCATTTGACAGATGAAAAAACTCAGGCTTAGAAAGGTTAAAAGACTGGAGTGCTTATTTTCCCCCAGTTCCCATCAACTTTGAATTTGATTGCAAACCATTTTAATCAGTATTTTAGGTACAGGAAAGTAGCTTACTATTGCTTTACTTTTCATGATTTCCAAAAATTAAAATGTTTGGACAATTTTTCACATTACTAGCATTTTGTATTTTCTCTTTAAAATTATTTTAAAATCTTTGATCATTTTCATTGGGAATAGGTATATACTGTATTTCACTGCATAATCATCGCAGATTTTATGCCAAATATTTTGCAAAAAAGTGGAGTGCGATCATCAGGTGAAGCTTTTTTTTGTTTGTTTTTTGGCTAGGCAATGGGGTTAAGTGACTTGCCCAGGGTCACACAGCTAGTAAGTGTTGTGTGTCTGAGGCTGGATTTGAACTCAGGTCCTCCTGAATCCAGGGTCAGTGCTCTATCCACTTTGCCACCTAGCTGCCCCAAGCTTTTTTTTTTTAAATTGTGCCAGTATTACTAAAAAAGCATTTATTACTAAGCTGTCTTTAGTGCAAGATTAGGATGCATGGAATACTTGTGAATATATGTTAAAATTGAATACTGACAATGTGTGTGCGCTGAGAATTCTAGGCTCCTGGCTTGTAATGCACAGGAAATAAATGTGTATCCATATGCCATTGCTGTTCCGTTTACCTTTTATGCAGCATGAGGATCAAACTTGGACAACTATTCATTTCAGAGAACCATCGTTAAAAGAGGTCATTGATCAGCTAGAGAACATCCAGAGGAGGGCAACCAGGATAGTGAAAGGTCTTCAGTCTACCCCAGTCAGCACAGAGAAGACTAAGGGGAATAACTCAAGTATGTAAAAAGCTGTCAAGTGAAAGAGTAAGGACTAGACTTTTTCTGTTTGGCTCCCGAGGGCAGAATTAGGAGCAATGTATAGAAACTGTAAAGATGAAAACTGGTTTGTCAGAAAACACTCAAAATTAGAGCTATCCAAAATAGAGTGAGTTGCATCATGAGGAAGTTCATTAGCTTTGAAAACAAAGCCATCTCCAGGATCCTGTATATCTGCTCTACTCCAATACTCTTCCTGGCTCCATCTCTTCAAATACCATTTTTATGTTTTCATGAGTACCAAGTACCTAATGGGTTAGAATCCAAGTGTGGTTGTTAGGCCATCCCTGATGAGGAAAATATATAGCTACAGAACTGCTGATAGTGCTGTTTCATTTTTCTGTTTCTTTATCGTTGTACTCACATTTCTTATGCGATTGCTCTTGGGATCATCCTGGCTTGAGTCTCCTACCAACCTTTCTGCAAACCTGTTTTATCATCCCCAGCTTTTTTTTTTTAAAAGGCAATTGGGGATAAGTGACTTGCCCGGGGTAACACAGCGACTAAGTGTCAAGTGTTTGGTCTGAGGCTGGATTTGAACCCAGGTCCTCCTGACTTCAGGGCCGGTGCTCTATCCACTGAGCCACCTAACTGCCCCAGCTTTTGTGTTTAGAGATGGCATCGTGCTAATTTTATCAAGGCTGATGTGGCAGGGCTTCTTCAATGAGAGGCATGATCACACTTGTCAGATCAGCCTGATAATTCACACAGGAAAAACAAAATGGATAAAGAATGCCTTTTGTCTAGACCGGGGTGGGGAACCTGCAGCCTTGAGGCCACACGTGGCCTTCTAGGTCCTCGTATGGGACCTTCTGACCGAGTCCAAGTTTTACAGAACAAATCCTTTTATTAAGGGGATTTATTCTGTGAAGTTTGGATTCAGTCAAAGGGCTGAATTTGAGGACCTAGAGGGCCACATGTGGCCTCAAGGCAATAGGTTCCTCATCCCTGATCTGGACCATGACGGATGGGTCGGATGGGTCATCTATTGAGAAAGACCATCAGCATATATCTCCTGGACAGGCACTGCAGTGTACATAGAATTGAAATGAATGGGATTTAATTTGGGAAACTGTAGTATTTTCAACAATCCTATGCTGCACCATGAAATAAAACCTCATCTTTTTAATAGCAGTATTTTTCTGGTGATATGTATATAACTGAGAGGCATGAAAATACTTTGATTTCAGGGTAGTCAAAACTGTGGGTGACTCAAAGGGCAATGAATATATACATGATGGTCACAAATAGTCTGTAGCCTATTACCAAAGATAACTTCAGCGCAAAAAGTAGTATAAAGGATTTTATCTAGGAAATGCATATTGGGAAAAGGAAGTGGGCCAGAATATAGAAAGAGCAAAGAATAACAGACATACTGTGTTGCTAACGGAATGTTAGAAGACCTGAAGAAAGACCTTCAAGACATTTGGTAGGGCCTCTTATGAGTCTATGTAGACACACTGGGTAGAACAACTATGTAGTATTTGTGGGAGGGCACACACAAGTTATACAAGATAAGTGAGCAAGTTTCCACCTGTACTGCTGGAACGAGTCTACACGTTGTTAAGATCATAAATCCATTAAAGATCGTCATAATGAATAAATATTAAATTGTCTTATATGCTTTTTGAATGTCCTGGACCAGTAGAGACAGGGAGGTATCTTGTACTTTTGTATAACCCACAGCATGACAGATTTTTCAACAATAGTTAACTGACTCACTATACTTTGTGAAATGTCAATCATTAGTACTACTGTAAATTCATCTATTTGAATATTTATTAAATACCCAGGCCGAAACTTCTACCTAGGTATTTAATAAAAATTCAAGTCCTTTCCATCATTATATGTCATCATTCCCACCATGGACTACATTACATATGTATTACATATACATGCAAGACTTTCTCTGTCTTTATGGGTGGCAGCATCATGAGAGATGCAGCAGCATTACCTGGATCACTGAGAGTTGGTTGACTTCTTACTGAAGCAAGTTGTTGGAGATCTTAGAGGTGGATGAAAAACTCAAGAGAAGAATGTGGATGATTTTTCCTGTAGGGACAGACCAAAACAAAACAGAAGATCTTTGTAGTAGGAAGCAATAGGGAACCACATTAACAAGGTATGTACTATTTGGGAAAAACCGATGAACAGAGACCTCTGCGAGCCAATGTGACAGACTGGAAAGGGCACTGACTAGGATTGAGGCCTTGGTCCCAGGTCTGGCTCTGGCACCGATCAGCTATTGTGGTTCTAAGAAAATCACTCCACTTCTCTGGCCTGTGTGTTTCCTGATTTGCAAAATAGGAGGCTGTAAGGATCCTTGCGGCTCCAAAATCCTATGTCTTCTACACTCCACCTACTGCTACTCAGCCACCTAAATGCTGGCCAGCTGGGAGTGGGAAATACCACCTGTTAACAAGTCACTGAAAACAATGAAGCATGAAGAAGAGACAAGAAAGGCCCTGACAAGGACAGAGGTTTTCCGTCCAAGGGATAAATTATGATGTAAAATTACAGGAATGCTCCTTCTCTTCCCTTTCCTTGTCTTCTCTGACCCCTTTCTAACTATTTCAAGATGCTGAAGTCAAGTGATTCTTCTACCCTAAAGTGCTTTTCAGACTAGCTCTACAGCTGCTGCAATGCAGACACCTCAGGACTGGGTGGAAGTAGGTGGGTTTCAGGACAAGCATGGTATTCGTTGTCTCTTGGTTTTTCTTTCCTGATGTTCCCATCCCTTTATGGGTCCCAATGACTCTTAAAGGGCTTTGCTATGGAATAAACTGGTTTCTGGAAGCTTTTTTTCATTTGTCCCTTTCTCTCCAGTCCTGCTGTTACTGCTCTATTCAAACCCTAATTATCCTTCACCTGAATTATTGCAATCATCTGCTAACTGATGTCACTGACTAGTTTTTTCCTCCTCCACCTTTTACTACCCAACACTATGATCCAAGCAATCTCCATTTAGCCCATAAGTTCTGCTGTAGCATTTCCTTCTCCCAGGCTCATTTCCTGTAATTCCCAGTGGCTGCCAAGGAGTGTACTGGTCCAGGGAAGCCTGTCTAGTTAACTTGAAAAAAGGAAAAAAACAGCTGGCATCAGGGGAGGGACCATAGGAGGACTCTCCTTCAGCACAGCATGCTGTGGCTATTAAATACTGAAAGAATAAAGGTAAATCTGGCTCCCTAGTTGAATGTCTCTTTCTATATATGTTGATACTTTATTTTATAGTGCTTTAAAGTTTACAAAGGACATTCCCCACAACCAGTAGTCAAAACCTATACCTGTCAAAGAAGAAATGCACATAAACTGCCATAATGTAGTAGAAAAAATCCTGGACAGAGTCAAAAGACTTTTGAGACCCTCTACTTACTGTGTAGGTTTGAGCACAATAATAATTACCTTACAGTTGTAAGAAAGCATGTGCTTTATAATGATGTGCTCTATAAATGTGAGCTAATTACAATATTAGCATTATCAGTATTTTCTACCAGTAGAGAAAATAACTTTAAAAAAAAGAAATAGAAAAATTTCTACTTTTAAGAATATTTTGTTCTATATTTAGATTCTGAAACCTGCCTTCCTGTAACTTTCATCAACTGCTCTTAGTCCCACATTCCCTGGTTAATCTGAAAAGTCACAGAATTAAGATTTAAAGCTGGAAGGGACCACAGCCATCATCCAGTCCAATCCCCTCATCTTACAGATGAAGAAACTGAGGTTAAGGGCTTTGCTCAAGGTCAGGTTTCACATTTACTCTTCTCTTTTCCAGGCTAAGCACCCCCAATCAGCTAATCTTCATGGGGAATAGTTTCAAGGTCACTCACCATCCTGGTATTCCCCTATGGATGTATTCTAGCTTGTTAATGTCCCTTCTAAAAAAGTGGTGCCTAAAACTGAACCCAATATTGCAGAAGGGGTCTGACCAGTGTGGTGTAGTAGTGGGATAATTATCCCCCTTCTCTGGACGCTACCATATTAGCTTGTTGGGCTGCCATATCCCACTGTGGTTGTGATCCCTTAGGACCCCAAAAGCTTTTTCACAGTAGTCATTTTATATCTACATGTCCATGGTCCTGTACTTGTGCAGTTTATTTTCTTTTTTTATTCACGAGCAAGTCTTTAAATTCATCCCTATTAAATGTGATTTTATTAACTAAAACCCATTGCTTCTGCATACTGAAATCTTTTGGGATACCAATTCTACCATTCAGTTTATTAGTATGCCTCTGTTTTGTGTTGCACCAATCTGCTGTGTGCCACCTAAACCTTCATCTTAAATCACTCGAAAGAATGCTGAGCAGAACAGAACAAGGAGAGATCCCTGGTTGTTGGGGAGGGTAAACTCCACTCTAAACTTCCTCCACATTGGCAAAGGATTCATTCATCAACCCTCTGTGGGTTCAGTTATTTAACCAGTTCTGAACCCAAGCCCATATTTCTCTATTTTGTCCATAAGGAAATAAGAAACTTAGTCAAATGAGCCTTACTGGGTTCATGATGTCCATGGCATTCCGTGACCAGAAATGGAAATCTGGAAACTTTGGTACAACTTGTTCTCAAGTCAATTCATGCTCATTCTTTTGATCGCTTCTTCCATTAAGTGATCACAAACCATTCCTTTGTATTCTAAAGTTTATTAAGAATCAATGTTAACCTCCTAATCTTCCTGTTCTCGAACATTTGGATGTTCTGCTTATCTCTTATCTTTTGGCACCTAAGCCCCTCCCTACCATTTTTCAAAGATAACGACTAGCAAATTAGTTGTATTTATAAGTTATTTCAGAATCTTGGGGTAGAGTAGTCCCAGACCTTGTGATCAAAATATCCATGCTTTGTGACAAACTGTACCAGGGTCCCCAATCAATAAACAAGCATTTACTGAAGGCCCGATTCAGGTTACCCATTGTCTCTAATGTGCTTTGTCATTTTATTCTATACATCACATTCTACTTCTGTAAAAAAAATTAGTATTTAGTAACAGCATTAGCCTTGGATTTAAGACATGGGTTTAAAGCCCACCTACTAAGGAATGAAGGAACAAATTATGGTATACGAATGTGATGGAATACTATTGTGCTGTGATAAATGATCAAAGGGATGGTTTTGGAGAAAGAGAAGACTTGTATGAATTGATGCAGGGTAAAGTAAGCAGAACCCAGAGAACAATTTATGCAACAATATTGTAAAAATAACTTTGAAAAGACTTATGAATTCTGATCAACATGATGACCAACCACAATTCCAGAGGACTCATGATGAACACACCATCCATATCCAGATAGAGAGGTGATGGACTTAAGAGTTCGAAGTAAAGCATATGGTGGGGTTTTTTCTCTTTTCTTGGATATGGACAATGCAGTAATTTACTTTGCTTGACTATTGTTGTTGACTTATTTTAGTTGTATCTGACTTTCCATTGACCTCTTTTGGGGTTTTCTTGGCAAAGATATTGGAATGGTTTGCCATTTCCTTCTCCAGTTCATTTTACAGATAAGGAACTGAGATAAACAGGGTTAAGTGACTTGCTCAGGGTCACACAGCTAGTAAGTGTCTGAGGCTGGATTGGAACTCAGGTCCCCCTGACTCCAGGGATGGCAAGTTCTATCCACTACTCTAGCTGCTTGACTATATGTGTTTGTAATAGGGATTCTGTTTTTCTTGCTTTCTCAGTGGGTGGGAAATCAAGGTGGGGCAGAGAGAATTTGGATCTGAAAATAAAATTGAATTTTGAAAAGAAATATTGAAGGGGATTGTTTCAGAGAAATCTGGGAAGACTTGTATGAAATGATGCGGAATGAAGTGAGCAGAACCACCAGAACAATTTATACACTGACAACAATCAACTTTAAAAGGCTTAGGAACTCTGATTACCACAGAAAAAAGCTACCTACCTCCTGATAAAGAAATGGATTCACAGTGCAAACTGAAGCATAGTATTTTTTTGGAAATGGCCAAGGCAGGCCTTTATTTTGCCTGACTATACATGTTTGTACCAAAGGTTTTATTTTTCTTTCTTTCTCAATCAAAGGGGTAGCGGGGGAAAGGAGTTGGGAAGAAGAAAAGGTGGATCTCCATTTGAAAAAAAATTAAAAAATAATAGCATATACTTCACATGGTCCCTGTGAGACTCAAATGATATAATGTATAGAATGCACTTTAAAAATCTTCAAGTACTATGTAAATGTCAGCTATAAGTAGTAGTACAGACAGTGCTGGGTATTATGACTACTGACTATGGTAAGAGCATCTCCTGTGAAAACTGCACCAATAGAAGGTCCAGTTCTGCAAACTTTTACTGCCCTGGTGGAATTCTCCAAATAAAGTGTTTTAGTCAAAGTATTCCAAAATGAGGGGGTTTTTCACAATCCGATGGCTACTGTAATACCAAGCACCTAAAATATTCAGTTTTGCCCATAATAGGTACTTAATAATTGCCACAAAGGATATACTATTAACACACACACAATTTTCTAACCTCCATCAAAGTCCTATTCTGATGGCTATTCGTGTTATGGAACTGTTATAACAGTAGAGTACAAGCTTTGGCAGCTCAAGGCCTTTCATAATTTAGCCCCCCCCCCCCTTTCCAGTCTTCTTAAAACCTTCCACTCCCCCAAGTACTCTTCAATCCAAGGACACTGGTTTCCTTGCTGTTCTAAGAACGAGATAGTGCTGTGCTCTCTGCTCGAGACATTTTCTCTGGCTCTCCCTCAAACCTTGAATCTGCTCCCTCCCCATCTGGCTTCCTTCAAGTCCTAGCTAAAATCCTACCTTCTACAGAAAACCTTTCCGATTCCTTTTCATTCTAGTGTCTTCCCTTCCTTGATGACCTCCTACTGATCCTGGATGTGGCCAGCCTGTACTTCTATTTGCTTGCTTGTTGTCTCTCTCATTAGACTGTCAGTTCCCCAAGGAGCTCAGGGCCTGTCTTTTGCTTTTCTCTGTATCTCCAGCACTTAGCCCAGGGCCCGGCACATAGTAGGCGCTTAAAAAAAGCTAACTGACCGGTAAGCTCTGGCAGTTTTATCAAGCTGGAAAGGTTTTGAGCGAGCGCCTGGGAACAGTGCCCACGGGCTGTCTTATAGAAGTTCAGAAGTGATACATTGTCTCGCTCGTGGCCTCCCACGAAGCCCACCCGAGGAGAGAAGGGATCCTAGAACCAAGAACTTAACGGGACGAAAGACCTAGGTTCTGATCCCAGCTCTGCTCCTTCGTTAGCCGGGGGACCTCTGGGCCTCAGTTTCCCCATCTATCCAATGGGGAGTCACCCTATCTGCCCCGGAGGGTTGGGAACCAAGTGCAAACAACGGACGTAGAGCTGCGGACTGAAGGGGGTGGACCCTTCGGATCTCGGCTGGACTGCCGGCCTCCGGACCTCGCTCCTCACTCCGGGGTGCGCGAAGGCGGGGAGGGTCGCCCCGCCGCCCGACTAGGATGGGGCAGGGGGAAGCACTTCCCCCATTTTCTCCCCACCACCGGGTGCAGGCCTTGTCTCCCTCCTCCGAGAGGATCGCGGATCCGCTCCCCCTCCCCCGCCGGGGACCACCCACCGCCCCCTCGGACCATCTCCTCACCGTGGGTCCGGCCGCCACAGCCACGCTCGGAGAAAAGACACGGTCCTCGGGCCTCCGCCTCGGCCGCGAAGCGACTACGGGGCCCGCCCGCTCGGGGATGCGGCAGGAGAGCGAGAGGGAGGCAGCAACCGAGCGCCAACACACCCTTACTCTCACTCGGGGGCGGGGCGACTATGCGCACATAGGCATTTCCGGGCGTCTGTCAGTCACTCCTGGGCTTTTCCGGTTGTCCTTCCCCTCTACTTCTCCCTGCATCTTTCCACTCGGAACTACTGCGATGGTGTCTCACGTTGCTACACGGGACACTTTCACCAGGCACCTTGTTTGTCTAGATCTTCGCCTGATTGCTCCAGTCGCTTCCATCGTTTCCTGTTAGCCCAACCACTGATATCTGAAACCCTGCGAACAGGTCAGGAATTTTATCTTGGCAGCCTCGGAAAGACCATTTATTCAGCTTCTCCCGCGAAGCCTCTGGTCTTCTTTCCAGATTAGGCATTGTCTTAGGCAGCCCCACTTCGCAGCCCGGGAAAGGGGCAGGAAGCGGAAGCGGGAGCCAGAGCGGCGGGGTCCTCTGACTGGCTAAGTCCCCAGCGCCTGTGAACATTCGGTGCGTCCGCTCCCTGGACGCGGCCTCAAGCGCGGGGTGGGTGGAGGCGGAGTCGTACCCTGAGCCCTGGCCGCGATAGTTCGCCGGGATGAACCTGGAGTTGTTGGGTGAGAAGCCGCAAGGTCCCCCGGGGTGGGGACACCGTCCCTCGCCGGCTGCTCACAGCCCAGGGCGAGAGGCTGCCGCCGGGGGGAGTCGATTTGGCGAGAATTTCCTGAGCCCTCGCCGTGTAGGCGGCTGGAGAGTTGGTGCCTGTGCCGGGGTGGTGGTGCTTGTAATGTGTGGGTGTGTTTGTCTGGCACTCCCTGTGTGTTCTAGCCGTTCTGTGTGCGTGCATCCTACACCAAATGTGTGCCTGCCGAGGGGAGTGGATGCTTTGTGTGTCCGAGCTGCTCATTGCATGGGAGAGAGGGAAGGAAGAGATTGCCGGAGTTCATAGGCTAATGGGAGTTATTCCTGAGGCAGACAGTAAAACGAGACAAAGAGTGGATTAGTTAAGCAACTTTTTTATTAAGCTCTTTCTTCAAATAATGGTGTCTTGGTGTGAAAAACCACACAGTCCCTGCCTCAGTCAGTCAGTCAAGCATCTGTTAGTGCCAGGCACACTGTTAAGTACTGAGGATACAAAGAAAGGCAACAACCACAAAAAAGCCCCAGCTGTCAGGGAACGGAGTTAAAGGGAGAGATGAGATACAAACACCAAACGTGATACAGGAGGAATTGGATGTACTCGCAGACAGAAGGCACTAGCATTAAGGGGATTTGGGAGAAGCTTCTTGTAGAAAGTGGGATTATAATTGGGACTTGAAGCCAGGGAAAACAGGAGATGAAGAAGAAAATTCCATGCATGCGACATAGCTTGTGAAAGTGCAGAGAGTAAGGAGATGGAGTGTATTGTGGGAGAAACAACCAAGTGTTACCGGATTCCCAAAACAGTCAAATCTCAATAGGAATTTTTAAAAATTGGTTATTTAAAAAATAGCTTTTCTTCATCTCTCTCTTCTTCAGGTTTTCCTTTTTTGTCCACTTTCTTCTTCTTTTTCATCATCTACTCCTCCATCATTGTACCCTTGCTTATCCTCCTCCTCTTCACTCACATCTTCCTCTTTTCCTTCTCCTTGTCATCCTCTTCCTCATCCACAGAGTATGGGGAGGGGAGTGTAAGAAGACCGGAAAGAGAGTAAGATCCAGGTTGTGAAGGGCTTTAAAAAATGAACAAAGGGTTTTATATTTGATTGAGAAAGTTATAGGGAACCGCTGAAATTTATTGAATAGGTGGATGTAACATTAGGAAAATTACTTGGATTGCTGAATGGGGGATGGCCTAGAGTGGGAGAGATGTGAAGCAGGGAGACCACAGCAGGCTATTGCCATAGTCTATGTGCAAGTTGATGAAGGCCTGGACCATGGTTTATGACAGTGTCAGAGAAGAGAAGAGGGTGTGTATGAAGGCAGAATGGACCGGATTTGGCAACTTATTGGATTTAGAGGATGAGGTGTCAAGAGTGACACCTAGCCTGGGTGACTGGGAGGATGGTGCACTTTATATGGGGATGGGGAGAAACAAAGACAAGATGAAAAATAGTCCTTGCCCTCCTGGAATTTACGTTAAGAGATATCCGAAAGTGGATTGGACTGCCCCAGGAAGTCATTAGTACTCCCTTTTTGGAGGTCTTTATGCAGAGACTGATGATCTTTTTTTTTAGCATGTTTATAATGGAAGAATTTGTTTCAGGTGAGGCTTGGATTGTATAGTTACTAAAGTCCCTTCCAGCTCATGATTCTATCACATTTCCAGTTCATATCCAATCTCTTATGAAATCTTGCCATTTCTATCTTCACAACATCTATTATATAAGGCGCTTTCTTTCCCTTCATAAAGCCACAACTCCTTGTTACCTCTCTCCTAGATTACGACAGTAGCCTCCTGATTGGCCTCCCTGCTTCAAATCTCTTGATATGTCTTGTATTCTGCTACCCAAGTGATTTTCCTAAAGTGTCGGTCTGCCCTTCTTACCTAATACCTCCTCACTCCATGTTATTTCAATGATCAAATGTTAAGTCCTTTGGTTTTAGCTGCCCTTCACAACCTGCTCATTTTTTAACTTCCTCATGTACTTACATTTTATTGCCCTCTGTGAACTCTTGAGATAGCTACACTAGTCTACTTGCTCTTCCTCCCACACAACAGTCTTATCTTCCTTTTTTGTGCCTTTTCATTAGCCTGTCCACCATATCTGGAATATTTCATTTCTGCTGCTTAATTTCCCTGACTTCCTTCAAGACTCAATTCAGATCATATCTTCTGGTCCCTTCATTTACTAATACTTTCTTCTCTATTCTCTGTATATTTTGTATGTGTCTATTTATGTATGTTGTATGTACCTCTTATATGTACCTGTTTGCATGTTGTCTCCTTAAAATGTGATCTTGAGAGCAGGAACAGCGTTCTTGCCTTTCTTTGTATCCCTAGTACTTAACATAGTGCTTGGCAAATAGCTGGTGCTTAATAAATGCTGGTTGACTGACTGAATGGATCTAACCTAGTTTACTAAGAACAATTCATGCCAAACTAACTTCAGTTTTCTTTTTAAGATAAAGTTACTAGACCTGTAGTAACTGTTTATCAGACAGTAGTCATATCAAAATATTTTTGGATTCTGATTTTGTTATGCTGTAAGTAAAAGTATATTTTGATTTCAGTAAGGCATTTGACAAGGTAACTCATGATATCCTCAAATATGAGATCAAGAAATGTGGACTGGATAAATTCACAACAGATGTTGAGGCTTCAAGTGAAAAGAATGTCAATTAATGGACATTAACTTTGAGTGGGGTCTTCAGTGGTCTGACCAAAGACTCAGTTCTTAGTGTTTTCTCTATTTAGTATTTTCTTCAGTTTTATGGATAAAGACACTAAAGGAATATTAATCATACTTTTAAATTATAAAAATTTGAAAGATAACTAATGCTTGTTGAATGACAGAATCAGTATCCAAAAAGATCTCAATACATTTACACAATGGGCCAAATCTAATGTGATGAAATTTAGAAATAACTGTAGGATACTAAGCCCTTTTCTTTTCCTTCACTACTTCCTGACCCCTTCTTCTCATTACCCTGTCTTTATTTACCTGGTATGTGCTTTTAAATTTACTTATATGTATATGTTGTTTTCCTTTAGAAAATGTTAGTTCCTTACAGATGGAACAGTTTCCTTTTTGTCTTTGTATCCCCAGTGCTTAGCACAGTGATTGGCACCTCTTAATGTTTTTGGCTGGTTGATTATTATTGTTTTAATTTAGAAAAATCATATGGAGATGTGGCTTTCATGTGAAAAGGATACAGGGGCTTTTGCTAACTGCAAGCTCAATATGAATCAGAAACATAAGGTGTGAGCCAAAAATGCTGTTTTGTTTTTCTTCATAGGAATTTAGAGAAGGCATTAGAGTGGTAATGAAATCATTGGGGCTTTAGCTAGATATAAAAGAAGTAGGTAGGATTTAGATAAGTGAAGTAGAATAGGGAGCCTGGGAGAATAGTGATAAATACAAATGCAGAGATGAAAAGTAGCTATAGGAACAAGTAAAGACTTGCTTTGCTCAGATTGGTTTGTGCAAGAGGTTTAGAGGGAGACTTGAGGCAGAGAGATGAAAAAGAAAATTCACACAAAAGTGATGAACTAGAACAGATCTTCTATCTCTGGTGACTTCAGGAAAGATGTGATCAGGTCTCCAAAGGAAGTAAATAAATACCCAACAGAAAGGGCAAATACAGGCTTAATGTTAGGGAAAGCTTCCTAACAAGTAGAACTGTCCAAAAATGCAATGGGCTACCTTGGATGATAGTAGGTTACCTTTCATTAAGGGTCTTTGAGTAGAGGCTGGGTACCCACTTGTTGAATGTGTTGTATTAGGGGTTCTTTTTCTGGTGTGAATTGGACTAGGTGGCAATAGGTTTATTTTTGCTTCAATATTCTGTGAATCGTTATTTCATCAGTGTGCATGTTACTTTCAATAATGCACGTTGGAATTTTTTCATATTTCAGTTTTTGTGAATTGCTTAGGCCAAAATTCCAGTACTTTCTGATGATGAACCCTTCAAAACTTAGATTGGTTCTTGAAGAGACAAATAGCCCATCCCTGGCCCTGGCCTTGAAACTTTTCTGGCTTATTCTTATTGCTCTACTGAGAATGCAAGGTCACCTCCATACTAGAATGAGACTTCAGAACAGAACTTTAGCAAAATGATGCTAACTTTTTTTTTTTTTTGGTGATACAGTTAGAGGTTAAGTGACTTGCCCGAAGTCCCACAGTTAATAAGTGTTGTGTCTGAGGCCGGATTTGAACTCAGGTCTTCCTGACTCCAGGGCCAGTGCTCTTTCCACTGTGCCACTTAACTGCCCCCAGTATGCTAACTTTTGCAGCATTATATTACGCTGTCTAGAAAAAGGAATATAATAGTCATGCTATAGTCTGTACTGGATAGATCATGTTTGGAGTATTATATTAAGCTCTGTGTGCTTTTAGAGCAAGGGTTCTTAAGTTGGCACCCACAGAACACTCAAGGGGTCCATGGATAGATTTTGGGGGTGATTGAACTTGGATGAGAAAAAGTTACATCTTTATTATCACTAACTTTTAACTGAAATTTATTATTTCCTTCAGTTATCTAAAACATTCTCTGAAGGGATGCATAGCCTTTACTAGACTAGCGAATGGGTCCTTGACACACAAAAAAGTTAAGAACCTCTGTTTTAGAGTAACTTTTAAAATTAATGACTAGGGAGCTTGAAGTACATCATATAAACAGAAATGTAAGGATGTTTGGCCTAGAAAAAAGAAAACCTGGGGGGACTAAGTAGCAGTGGTCTAAGATTGAAAGGCTGTCATCCAAAAGGAGGTGTTAGACTTAACGCTTTGTAGAAGATCAGAAGGTAGGATTTACAGGGAGGCAGATTTTTGGGTCAGTATGATAAAAACTTTTTAATAATTAAAACTAAGTGAAATAGGCTTCCTCATGAGACAGTACTCCTTCACTGGTAATCTAAAATATGTTGCTGCTATTTTTGAAATTAACATACTTTCTTTCCTTTGTTGCAGAGTCCTTTGGACAGAACTACCCAGAGGTAAGCTTTCAGTGTCCTCCTTGGTCTTACTTAGTGATTATATGGTGCCAACTTTTGGAGAGAACACGTTTTTGGATCCTCATGACAATAGTTTGAAATATCCAATATGGTGATGGTTTTATTCTGACTCTCATTGGGAGCTAAGTATTTTATTTGAGTGGTAGGGAAAAAAATGGATGGACAGTTTTGGTCAGAACTCTCACAAATTTTTGTGACTATGACGATTCAAGTGCAAGAAAAATGTTTAAACTGAGTGAGAAGCCTGAGGAATTAATTGGAGTATCTTGCTGTTGCTGTTTATCTGTGTTTGCTTTGTACTTTAGGAAGCTGATGGAACTTTGGATTGCATCAGTATGGCCCTGACCTGCACCTTTAACAGATGGGGCACACTGCTGGCTGTTGGCTGTAACGATGGCCGAATTGTCATTTGGGATTTCTTGACAAGAGGCATTGCTAAAATAATTAGTGCCCACATCCACCCAGTCTGTTCCTTATGGTAAGACATCTTTTATTGACATTTTAAACTTGAGTTGCATGTTGTTTTCCCCGTGGCCAGCAAAGGCTGTGACTGAGTAGGATTTATGGTACCGATTTAACCCTCCCTGGTTTGGGAAGTTCGGGGTAGAGGGTGGCTAAGAAGCTGATGTGCAGTTGGAAGTCAGAATTGGTTTGAATGAGCCAAGATCAGGCAGACAAGTTGAAGGGCTAGAAGGACCAGAGGTGAGAGGCGGCATCTGAAGTAGAATTGGGAAAAAAAACCAGAAATCACAAAAAAAAAAAAAAGATTCCTGAGGGAATCTTATGAGAAGCGAGGCTTTCCTAGATGGGAGCTGGGAGCTAGACCTGGGTTTCTTAACCTGGCAACCATGAACTTACTTTGATAACATTTTAGTAAGTGTATTTCCATGTAATTAGTAATCCTGTGGATTTTAGTTTACATATATAAAAACATTCTGAGAAGGTTTCACTCTGAGTAAATTGCCAAAGGGGTAAGAGTTAAAAGAGGTTTTTGTTTTTTTTTTTACAAAGAGCAAAAAAAATGATTTTAAAAGTCAGATGAGAGCAGGTGAGGAAAAATTTGCAAAAAGAAATGAGAACTATGCAAGAAAATTATGAAAAGAGAATTGACAGTTTGATAAAAGAGGCACAAAAAATCCTAAAGGAAATAACTCCTTAAAAATCAGAATTGGCAAAGTGGAAGGTAATGACTATGAGACATTAAGGAATGATAAAACAAAGTTGAAAGACTGGAAAAAAATAGAAGAAAATATAAATATGTTATGGGAAAAACAACTGACCTGGAAAATAGATGAAGGAAAGATAATTTAAGGATCATTGGACTACCTGAAAGCCATGAGCAAAAAAAAGAGTATAGGCATCATATTTCAAGAAATGATAAAGGAAAGCTGCCCAGATAGCATAGAACCAGAGGGTAACGTAGAAATTGAAAGAATCCATTGGTCACCCCCTGAAAGAAATTCCAAAATAAAAACTCTCAGGAATACTGTAACCAAAATTCAGAATTTCCAGGTCAAGGAAAGAATACTGCAAGCAGGCAGTAGGAAAGAATTCAAATACTGTGGAGCCACATTCAGGATCACACAAGATTTAGCAACTACAAAATAAAGGAAGGGTTTGGAATATAATATCCAGGAAGGCAAACGGAGCTGGTGTTGTAACCAAGAATAACCTACCTAGCAAAACTGAATATTATGAAACGGGGATAAATGGATGTTTAATAAAATAGAGGACTTCAAACATTCCTGATGAAAAGACCAGAGTTGAATAGAAAATTTGACATTGAAACACAAGAATCAAGAGAAACATAAAAAGGTAAAACATGAGTGAGAAATCATAAGGAACTAAACAAGATTAAACTATTTATATTCCTGTATGAGAAGATGATACATGTAACCATATCAGAATGTTATCATCACTAGGACTGTTAGAGGATGCCTACTTAGAGAGAGGGCATGGTTGTGAGTCTGTTATGTTGGGATGATCTCAAAAGAAGAATGGAATTGTGACACAAGGGAGATGCACTGGGAGAGGGGAAGAAGAGAGAAGAATAGGGAAAATTGTCTCACATAAATGAAGCACAAAGGATAAGTTTTTACAATACAGGAGAGATGGGTGAGGGGTGGGGGTTGTGGAAGTGGGCAACACTTAAACCTTACTTTCTTCTGAACTGATTGAAGGAAGGAGGAATATACATACACACAGTTGGATACAGAAATTCATCAACAGGGAAGTGGGAAGGAAAGGACTAAGAAAAGGGGGGGAGTCAAGAATAAGTGGGAGTCTAGATTAAAGGAGGAGGTGGTCAGAAGCAAAACAAACTCTTTGAGGAGGAGACTGTAAAAAAGGATAACTATATGAGAATAGGATGGAGGGAAATAGCAGTCATAACTGGCACCCATACAACAGACAAAGATAGCAAAATAGACAATTGGACGTTTTGTGAAAATAAAAAAATGAAGGCTTGTATGTGGTAACTTACAATATATAAAAAGTAACCTTTTTCTTTTTCTTTTTCTTTTTTTTTTTTTTAAAGCTGGAGTCGAGATGGTCACAAGCTTGTGAGTGCTTCAACTGATAACATAGTGTCACAGTGGGATGTCTTATCTGGGGACTGTGATCAGAGGTTTCGATTCCCTTCACCCATACTGAAAGTCCAGTATCATCCCCGAGATCAGTATGTTTAGCCAAAATTATCTCTTGGGTTGTAGTCTAAATTTACATGGGCTAACTGGATTGGTGAACATTTTAGTTTGGAGTCAGCCCCCCAAAATGTTTGGAGATGATTTTGTTCTGTGGGCTGTTGGTGCCCTTGAAGTTTTAAGAGAAGCAGCTAATGATAATTTGCTTCCTTGTAGTTTTATAATTAAAATAGACCAGAATCTTTTTTACTTGAAAAATGGGCACATAGGAAAGTAAGCACGACTATCTTGGTTGAAATTTTAGGAGGTTGGGATATTTGAGGGGTCAATAAGTAAGGATCTATTTGGGGGGAAGGTAGAGAATTAATCTTTAGCTGCCAAAGCACAACCTTTTGCATCTGTCTTTTTTAAACAGGAACAAAGTTCTTGTATGTCCTATGAAATCAGCTCCTGTTATGTTGACCCTTTCTGATTCCAAACATGTCGTCTTGCCAGTAGATGATGATTCTGATCTAAATGTAGTTGCATCTTTCGATAGACGAGGGGAATATATCTATACGGGGAATGCAAAAGGGAAGGTAAGTATGCAAGACAAGATGTTCAGAATTAAGATAGCCTTGCAAAAAGTATTCCGTTGTAGGAATTTGCTACTCTGTCTTCAAATCAGCATTGGGCATTGGCCTTATTCATACATACTTGGATGTTTTATCTCCTTAGCTGTATTTTCTTATATTCTTGATATCAGTGAGCTAACAGCACAGATCTGCCTATAGCAGTTATATTCTGAATTTTCCCTGCCTACTCAAATTCTATTGTCTGTTTTCCTTTGATTTTTCACCAGGAAGAGAGGCAGAGATTTATTAAAACCTCATTAATACAAATCCCTGGAGGCTGAGCTGAAGATTACCTTTAGGCCTTCTCTATAAAAATGTTTGCCAAATAAAATAGTATAAACAAGATCCAAGGGGATATGTGTAAGTTACTAGAGAACAAACTTCTTACTATATAGTAAAGCAGATCATTGAAGGCTTCAACAAAGGCACACTGTTAGTCTAGTTGAAGTATGTATATTCTTAAAAAGTATACGAAAATAACGAAATTTTTTTCTCAGTCTAGACCTGTGATTTCATTGGCATAGAGAACCCAGTGAGTACAGTTGCCTGCAGGACTTGGAGAAAGGTGTAGTGATTTGCCCAGTGTGTGTCAGAGGTGGGACTTTCAGCCAGGTTTTCCTGACTTGAGGCCAGCTGTTTACTCAGCATGCCAATCTAACAAAAAAAGTTACTAATCTTTAAACAGCTTGTAATTTAAGTCAACTTTCCCTCTGAGAAGGTAGTGTGTTATTGTGCATAAGGCTGTGCTAAGTGACCCTGGACAACTCACTTAATCTCACTGAGTCTCCATTTCCTCACCTGTGAAATGGGAGGGTTACTGAACCTGCTGGAGCAAAATTTATTATTTTTTTTATTCTTCTTCTACCTGGAGTTGAATAAATACATTCTGGGTTTTGTTTTGGTTTTTTTTTTGGCTTTGGACACTTTGGCCAGTGATTTAGTGGCTTCTTTAGAAAATGCCTGTAACCTTGCTAATGTCTGATAATGATGCTGCTGTTGCTGCTGCTGTTATAATAATGGTGATATATAACAGGTTATTTTATTCACCTATTCACCCAGTAGTCTGCAGAACATTAAAATATTTAAAAAGCAGGGTGACAGATTGTCCCAGGACTGTTTCTATCTGTATTCCATCAAAAAAGATGAGGATTAGGTGAATAATATAATAAATAATAATAAAAATAGGAAAAAAGATTTCAAGGAATACTTTTAAAGAAAGGTTTCAGAAATCATCCATGGCAGCTTGAGGAAGCTAATGAAGTCTGCTGAAAGACTGAAATTCCTGATACCTTTAGTCAATAATTGAAAATAAAAACCAAAACAGATTAAGGTCACACAAGGAGTCAAAGCAACACACACAAAGAAAATTAAAACAATTCAATGTCAAACAGAAACTTTATTTTAGAGACTTGAGAAGCAAAAAAATGAATTAGGAGAGAGAGACAGATATCCCTATAGTAGGGGGCTATGGAGAAGTTCTGGTGGTGTGGTTGTAGTCACAACATAATGGAAACACAGTTTGGAGCCATGTGAAAAGCTTGTGTATCTTAAAATGTGACTCCAGTGACATGCCTTTGTCGGCCTTTATTTTTGAAGTATTAGTTCCAGAAATATTTCTGTAAGTCTTTAATTGAGTTATTAGTTATGCTGATAATATCTATCATTTCTCTTCCTGTTTTTGTTTTGTTTTTTTAAAAGAAAATGTTAATCTTCATAAAGCTACTGTGGGGTATGGCAGTCTGCCAACCACTAAATTTTTTAAAAGTAAAGGGATAGCAGTTTGCCTAGGACCATTTCTAGCTGAACTTTCTCAAAAAAAATGATGATAATCATAATGCCTTAAGAGAAAGCATAGCATTGTAGATAAAGGATTCTTCTAGAGCCAAGAAGACCTGGACTGAAGTCCAGCTTCTGACATTTTCTGATTGTGTAACCCTGAGCAAGTTACTATGCTTGTTGGTGTCCCAGCCATTTCTCTTAAGATTTTTAAGTTGGAGAGAAGGGGCAGATCTGCATTGGTAGAGGAAATACTTCATTGAGAGTTCCCTGTGCCAGTGAAACCACAGGTCTGGTTAAAAAACCAAAGACAAGATCACATATAGCACTTTAAGGTTTACACATTACTTTTCTGGTGAAATAGACTGAAGAGCTATTGTTATCCTAATTTTGCAGATGAGGTTCAATAATTATTTCTTACTCATTTAAGTGTAAGAGCTGAAATTATAATTTGGTTCTTCTGACTCATAAATACAGTTTAAACAATAAAGAAAGCTACAATGTAGAAGTATCTCTAGGATCTTATTCTTTCCTCTCATTTGAAAACAAAAAGAATGAAGTTCAGACAATCCTAATCATTTGGTGCCTAATTGGATTTCAGATCTACCCTTGAACATTTTCTCTTAAATATCGGTAAAGTGAATACTCAAGAACATTAACACTGCCCTTTGAAGAAAGCTCAGTGCAATGCTGGCTGAGATTGATGTGTATAACTCACAAGATTTAGACTTCTGAATCAGTACTGACTGCTACACAGATTACTGAGGAAGATGATCCTTGATTTACCAATAAGAGTCAGGTCAGGCTGCCAACCGGTCTTCAGGATGCTCATTTTCTTTTTCTTTCATCTTTAGATCTTGGTCCTAAAAACGGATACCCAGGATCTAGTCGCTTCTTTCAGAGTAACAACTGGGACCAGCAATACCACAGCTATAAAGTCAATAGAGTTTGCTCGGAAGGGGAGGTGAGTCAGGACCCTGGTTTTACTCAGGGCAGCTTTAGTCTTATCTTTCTGTTTTGTTTTTATGTAGCTTTACTATGAAATATTGAAGTTCCAGTAGCAACTTACTTCTTGTATTATAAATGTTTTCACGCGGTCTTAGTAGAGACAGTGTGCCTAGGGTTTCCTTTTGTTACTTTTATTTTATATGGACTTTTCCATATTTCTGTGCATTCTTTGTGTATTGTTTTTATGGTAATGTGATATAATATTACATTTAGGATTTTTTTTTTTTTAACGTTAGCTGCACTTTGTTTCTTACATTTAATTAGAGCTATTTAACCTTCCTAGTAAGGTCTTTGTGATGCTAAGATTCAGGCATTCAGGATAGATCTCCTTCTTGTTGTTATCACTTAAACATTCAGCTGACCCTTAGATACTCATTAATAACGATTGAGCCTATACTACTCTTTGTATAAACAGGTTCTTTTCTCCTTTAAATTGAAGTCCTAATAGTGGAATTGCTGGGTCAAAGTGTATGACCAGTTTTTTGCCTTTTGTTTTATATTGGCCACTTTGCTGTCTAGAGAGTTGGCAGCAGTTTGCTTTGCCTCTGGAAATATATGCATGTCCCTGTTTTCCTTGAAGTTCTACCACATTGTTTTACCGTTTTTATTTATTTTTAGGGCAGTTTTAGTTTGATAAATGAGCAGACTCTTTTAAAGCAGTTCCTAAGTGCATGAAACTTAATGCTATTTAAGCAAATACAGTATTAGATGCCTTACTTTATCCGGATTACTTATACTTGCATGAAACTATTCAGAAGACCTTTAATTAGTCAAAATAGATTGTAGAATTATATTTTCTATTTCAAATTTTTTGTATTACAGATGAGCAGTTTCACAAAGCCTCTATGTACTAAATAAAACTTATGTACTTTATTCGTACAGGAGTCCCTAGAACTTCTTATTTAACATTTCTTTACTCTTAATTTTTACAAACTTTATTTTTATTGGTGACTTTTATTTTTACATTGTATTCATTTCCAAATGTATCTTTCTCCCTCCCTTGTGCAGTGAGCCCTTGACTAAAAAAGATTTTTAAAAGTTCAGCAATACCAGACAAAATATTGACCTTGGCTGATAGTATATATGCAATATTCCACATTCATAGTGCAATATACCACATTCATAGTCCCTCACGTCTGCAACGAAAGGAGGGAGGTATGCTTTCTCAACTCCTTTGGCACCAAGCTTTATCATCATAATTACACAGCACTCGATTTTATTTTGTTGTTTTTTTCATTTGTTTTGTTGCATTGTTGTGTTATATTGTCTTTCTGGTTCTGCTTATTTCTCTCTCTGTTTGTATTACTCTTCCCATGCTTCTCTGAATTCTTCTTATTTTTATTTTTTTATGGAATAGTAATATTTCATTTTGCTCATATATCACAATTTGTTTAACCATTCCCCAAATTGATAGGCTTCTATTTTGTTTTTAGTTCCTTGCTACCATAGAAAGTGTTGATATTTTGGTATATATGGGACCTTTCTGTCGGGTATTCATCTTGGGTTATAGAATTAGAAGTAGAATCTCTGTGTGAAAGAGTATGGACATTTTCATCAAAAAAAATTGTTGTTGTTGTATAATTCCAGATTACTTTCCAGAAGGATTGAACTTCTCTTGCTTTAGACACAACTCTAAAAACATAGTTGTCTGTCCCACAGCATATTAAAAGCAATTAACTAAAATGAATGGCCAGGAACAGTGACATTAGCAAAATAGTCTAGCTGATCTCTTTACTACATGGATTATAGAACAGCTGGGTCTTTGTTTTTTGTTGTTGTTTTTTATGTGCTAAGAACCTTGGCCTTGGCCTCTAGACCGTGACCATCTGGTCTTCCTGGACTTGGTGGCCTGCTTTCTAAACTCTATACTGCTAGGGATTTCTCAACTTTATACAACCATTTGTAAATATCTAGTAATTTAATGTCTGCCCATGACTACTCATTTTATAAAGATGTGCCGTAGCCTATATGGGCACAAGAAAGAAAAGAAAATGGTGGCTAACTGCATTAAACAAACGGCAAAGGCCAATGACCTTGATAGAAACATTGGCTTGTTTTTTGGGGAAGTCCTTTGATGATTTCGGTGTTGAGAGGTATGGAACTATTGTTAATGGTAGCGCTAAAGGTGATAAAAGAGCAGTATGAACAACTGAATGGGAAAACAGGAATGCTTGAAAGTCTTCTATCCCATTAAAGGGCCATTTTTTTTTCTCCATAAGATTATACTCAGCTTTGCAGGGTAAGTTATTCTTGCTTTTAAGCCTATCTCTTTAGCCATCTATTCCAAGATGTCGTGTTTATGGTAGAAGCATCCAGGTCTGGATGGTTCCTGAGTATAGTTCCCTGATACTTGAACTCTTTCCTTCTGGCTACTTAAATTATTTTTTCTTTGATGTGGAACCTTTGCATTTGGGCTATTACATTCCTAGAATTTTTATTTTTGGAGTTTCTTTCAGGAGATGATTGGTGGGTTCTTTTTATCTTTATTTTGTCCTCTGGTTCTAGTAGATTGCAACAATTTTCATTAGTGATTTCTTGAAATATATTGTCCAGGCTTTAAAAAAAAAAAATCATGGTTTTTAAGGAGTCTGATGATCCCTAGATTATCACTCCTTACCTGTTTTCATGGTCAGTTATTTTTGATAGCAGATATCTTAAATTTTTTCAGTTCTTGAATTTTGTTCTAATATTTCTTGCCATCATATAGAGTCATTGATTTCTGTTTGGTCCATTTCAGTTTTCAGAGAATTTGTTACTTGAATAAAATTTTCATCACTTTTTCTTCTACACTATTTTCCCAATTCATTACCCCAGAGTTTTTATTTCACTTTTTTTATATGTTGCTTTATATCTTCTAAGTATTCATGTAGTCCTTGTGGAAAATCCATTTTTTTCTTTAAATCTCTGCTTGCAATTGTTAGAGAATTACTTTTTCCTTCTAGGTTGAATTTTTGGATATCTTTGGATCTATGACAGTACTGTATAATGGTCTGTATCTTCTTCAGTTTATTCATCTTTCCAGTCTTAGTTTTGAATTGGGGCTTTGTGCCAGGGCTAGGCTCTGCTTCACACTCTTCTTTTGGTTGGGGGTGATTAGCCTTGCTTGAACTGAACCTGGGTCACCTGATTATGCTAACATTCACTTCCTAAGGAAGGCCCCTCTGGATCTTTGAGGAACAGAGTGCTGAGGACCTTGGAGCCTAAGGACCTGCGCTGTCTCAGTGTGCTCAGTGCAAGTATACAGCACTGATGGCTCCTATATCTGGTTATTTCAAGATACACACTAAGTTTCTTATCACCTTGGGGTTTTGTTAGGGAAAGCCTTCTGTCTTTGATGCATCTAGATACTTCAGATAAAAAATTTAGCACTTGTAGGAGGACCATTTGATTTACCTAGAAAATTATCTTCTATAGAACTTTTCCAGCAATATCACAATGACAAAGGTACAACCGTATTCTTAAATGCAAGTTTGTGGAGTTAGTAAGCTAAAAATTTTACTTTGGTGGCAATTATAGCAGAGTTTAACAGCTCACCGTAGTTAGTACAGGCATGGCATAATGCGGCATTCAAGTAGAGGAGCTGAGATTTGACCTTAAGGAGCTTTGGAATGAGGGGATATGAGGCAGATATGTTCACAAGGAGATGTTTATAGGGCAGATGTGTCAAACTCAAAGCCAACAAAATTTTTGAGTGTAGCCTAACCAGATTAAAATGTAATTGGGAAATGTTTAACAACATAAATAAAAATACAGTGCATCAACATAGTTAATTTGTGATTTTCTAAATTATTATGTGGCCAGCAGGAATCCTTTCTTTTAGAGTTTGACACCTCTCTCGTAGGGGCTATTATAGAGGAGACTTATATTCTAGGTGGTAGTTTGATTAGGTTATTTTTAAGGTCCCTTCCACCTGAGATTCAATAATTTCTTGCTCTAAGTATTTATCTTAGGGAGTATTAATAGTAACCGTCTTTTCTTGCAGTTGCTTTTTAATAAATACAGCAGATCGAATAATCCGAGTGTATGATGGCAGGGAAATTTTAACCTGTGGCAGAGACGGAGAACCAGAACCAATGCAGAAACTGCAGGATTTGGTAAACAGGTACATGTCTCACATTTAAGAAGAAATGTTACCAGAGGTAAATTCACATAAAATAAAAGTAGTATGATCATTTTAGGACCAGTATACCTTGGAGTTGTTCCTAGTAGGGATAAATTCCTTTCTTCCCTTAGACTTTTCATCTTGGCATTTTGGTATTTGCTTTACTTTCCTTGTCCTAGGCACAAGGGGAAAGGTTGGGTATTTTTGTATGGTAACTGTATGCCTGGGTAATTTTCCTCCCATGACTTCTAGGACACCTTGGAAGAAATGCTGTTTCTCTGGAGATGGGGAATACATAGTTGCAGGCTCTGCTCGACAGCATGCCCTATATATCTGGGAGAAGAGTATTGGTAACTTGGTGAAGATTCTTCATGGGACCAGAGGAGAGCTTCTGTTGGATGTAGCTGTGAGTAGAATGGGAGGTTTTTGTCATGCACATTGTCTAGAAAAATCTTAACTATGTTTAAAAAAAAGTTTCCTTTTCCTCTTTAAATACAGTGGCATCCTGTCCGACCCATAATAGCATCCATTTCTAGTGGAGTGGTATCTATCTGGGCACAAAATCAAGTGGTAAGAATTGTTTTTATTTGTATTCATTTACTTTAAAGCTAGGTCCCTTCCATTCCCATTAGGAGTTAGCTGTATAATTCTTTCATTAGCTTTATCAGCCTTTTGCATCTGATTATGCCTTTTTGTTTGATAGACGGAAGTAGTATTGGCTTTTTATTTTCTTATCTGAAGCTGATCTGCTACATTTTTAGCCTTAGGTAAAATATGTAAATAAAGGCAACCTTAAAGTCAAAAAAATGCTGGATTTGTAATCAGAGGGTCTGGATTTGAATCCCACTTCTACTTGTGTGACCCTGGGCAAATAAATCATTTAACTTCTCTGAGTTTCTCATCTGTAAAATGAAGGCATTGGACTTTAGAACCCTTGAGGCCCCTCCTGGCTCTAGTGAGTTAGCCACAGGGGCAGCTAGGTGGTGAAGTGGATAGAGCACCGGCCCTAGAGTCAGGAGGACTTGAGTTCAAATCCAGCCTCAGAAACTTGACACTTACTAGCTGTGCGACCCTGGGCAAGTCACTTAACCCCATTGCCTTGCAAAAAAAAAAATGAGTTAGCTAGGCAGGCATTTGTTAAATGCTTATTAATGCTTATTATATACCAAGCACTGTGCTAGGGATGTACTGGGGATTCTGAGAGAGGCAAAAAAACATTGCCCTCAGGGAGCTCACATTCTAATGAATGAGATAACATGTAAATAACTAGGTGTAAACTAGATATACTGAGAACCAGTGGAATGTCATTGTGGAAAGACACTACAAACTGGGAGGACCAGGAAAGTCCTCTTGTTTAAGGTGGGGTTTGAGCTGTGTCAAGCAGGAAGCCAGAGAAACTAAGGCCGAGGTAAGAAGGGCATTCTAGGGTGAGGACTGAGAGGGAGAGGTGAGGGGGACGCCCGGGGCAAAGGTATGGAGTTGAAAGATAAGAGTGCATTAACTTATAAAGCACACGTATTACCATTTATTTTAATGCACTAAAATTACTGAAGTGGGAGCTTATATATGTCAACCATGCTTCTTTTTTTTTTTTCTTGTCTGTGATTTTGTCAGGGTAGATAGTTCCTAAAGAGGAACTTCCTACCAGTGCAGATCCAGCACCTTCTATGCAACTATGTAGTCTTTAGGGAGTTGCCAGGAGCCCTGGGAGGTTGAAACCATACTTGGTGAGTTTCACACACCCAGTAGGTGTCAGAAATGGGACTTGAGTATAACCATTTGCATATGCTGATTTACTTAATTATTTCTGCAGGATTCTTTTTTGTGGTGTACTCTGGGAAGTGTACTAGGGAGTTAGCCAGGCAGACATTTGTTAATTGCTTATTATATGCCCTTTAGGAGTACTCTGGGAATTTTTGATGTTTAAACAAAATTTATTAAGAAATTATGAGTTTTAAAAAGACAAGAGGAATGATACAGGAGATTGGTGGAAAGAGAATCAACCACTCTTGGCAGCTGATTAAATCGGACCCAAGGAAAAGGAAAGAATCTTTCAGAGTTGGGTGAATGGCCTGTTAAACATGGCTTCCATTTGCTCATTTCTCAGTCCTTTTCTGTCTGACTTTGGACTGAATCTATTACTCAACCAAACCTGCTCTCTTCAGGCTTACCAGTTATGTCTGCTAATTTCTGCCTTTGTGATTTTGGGCAAGTGAAGAGAGCTCTGGGCATCCGCTTCCTCTTCCCTGTGGACTAGATGGGCTCTGAGATCCCTTCTAGCGATGGCTTTATGACCTGGTCATCTCTTAATCGCTAAATCCAGTACACTTTTCTTCATTCTTCCCTTTTCTGCAACTGACACCACCTTTTTCCTGCTTGATTTTCTCCTCTTTAACCTGCCTGTCCTCTCCCCAGTCTCCTTTGCTGGAGGCCATATTGAGTGTGGCCATCTTCCATGTCTCTGTCCTGGACTGTTTTCTCCTTTGGTGATCTCATGGGTTCAGTTTTCATCTTGTGCAGATAACCTTTGAATCTTCGGTCATGACATATTGGACATTGTCGGCTTTAGAATCAGGGCGACTTGTGTCCAGATCCCACCTCTGAAACATACTGAGTGACCCTGAGCAGATCAGTTATTCCTTAATGTCGCAGGAACTCTGTGTAACTAAGTTGCAAAACAATTGTTTTTCTGCATGGGTAGGAGAGTTTTTCCCTCTAGGAATTCTCTACCCTTAGGAAATCACAGATACATACACATCTCCCAAATGCTGATGACTCCCAAAATATATACATCAAGTCCTTATTTATCTTCTGAACTCCCTCATTACAAACTGTTGGACATTTCCACCTGGATGTACCACAGGCATCTCAAATTCAACATGCCCAAACTAGAACTCATATTTACTCCTAAACCCATCCTTCCTCCAAACTTACCCATTTTTGTGGATGATGTCACCAGCCTTCCAGGTACCTTGGTTTAAAATCTTGGAGTCATCTTCTTCCCCCACCCCCCCCAATATTTAGCACATCCTGGCACATAACAAGTACTTAAGAAATGCTTATTGATGATTTGATTTCAAGTAGTGGAGGAAGTAAGAAGGAACTGTTATAGAACTGTGACTAATTATGACTTTAGCAGAGTAATACTAAAGCATGCCTTTCTACCTCTTGACAGAGAGGTCCAGGACTAGAGGGGCAAAAGAAGATAGCTGTTTTTATAAGTGTTCAGTGTGATTTATTTTGCTTGCCTGTATTTATTTTTTATAAGACAAGTTTTCTATTTTGGAAGGGGAAGATGAATGAGATAAAGAAAAGAGCTATTAATAAGACAGAAAAATGTACAAAATACAGAGTTTAGAACAGGGAACGAAACCCAGCAATTTTGTTACTCCTTGTTAAATTTATAGTATATGCTTTAAAAAGTACATAAAAGAAGTTCATGGTTTCATGTACATCCTTTTTTGTTTGTACATGGCAATATTTTATTTGTTGATTATTTGTTGAGTTCATAATAAAAGTAAATTTTTTTTTAAAAGGAATAGACAGAAAGAAAACCAGGAGAGGAGAGCAGTGTTACAGAAGTGAAAAGAGAGGAGAGTATCTAGGAAGAGGGAATGGTCAATAATGTTTGAAAGCTGCAGAATGGTGAAGGACAGGGGTGGGAAACCTTTACCCGAAGTTTGGATTCAGTTAAAGAGCTGCACTTGAGGACCTAGAGGGCCACATGTGGCCTCAAGGCTGAGGGTTCCCCCCTCCCAGTCAAGGAGGATGAAGACTGAGAGAAGGCCATTGAACCTTTCTAAGAAAATTTTCCACGGTATTTGACTGACAAAGGATAATTCTCAAATTTTGTGCCTTTATTTTATTCTGAGAACAACTTGAAGTCATGGAGATAACAAAACTTGTTAGAAAAATCTATTGTAATTGAACTGGAACTTAATTCTCAAAAGTCGAGAAAAATGGGTTTTTGAATAGTTTTTAGATGTAAAGTAACTAAAGGGAACAGTTTTTAAAAACTTCTGCCATAACTTGATGGCAGTTTTTGTGTCTCTATGCCATAAAATAGAATTTACAAAGTCAGGTTTCTGGTTGCAGGTGGTATTTTATCTTTAAATTGTAAAGCAATGAATGTGAACAAGGTGCTCTGTGTTTGTGGCATAGGAAAACTGGAGTGCGTTTGCACCGGACTTTAAAGAGCTGGATGAAAATGTGGAATATGAGGAAAGGGAGTCAGAGTTTGACATTGAGGATGAAGATAAGAGTGAGCCGGAACAAACAGGTACTGTGTCTCTGTCACCATGCTTCTTAAAAAAAAAAAAAAAAAAAATATATATATATATATACACACACACACACACACACACACACATATATATGTATGTATAATGTATGCATTCTTTTTGTTTTTTATAAATTCTGGCCTTAGCTTTGAGAAGTGGATGGTTTGACCATGGATAGACAGCTGACTCAGGGGTAGAATCACTTACCACATCAGTAACAGGTCTTTTCCTGTTAATTAAAACATACTTAGTTTCATTCTTTATGGTGTGATTTGGTGGTTGGCACCTAACAGTTCTTTTTTTGAAGAAAGTTTTCATAGATATAATGCTTCATGGTGATCTTTTTGCAGATATTTGTCATTAGAACTGTAACATGTGATAACCAAAATGTCCCATGACATATTTCTTGTAGTGTTTGGGCATATGGTAAAATCCATTCTTCCACTTCCTTTCTTTGCCTTTTCAGGGAATACCTGTGAGCCATCCTTTCATGTAGCTTTACCTTATTTCTGGTTTTGTTTATGCCAGTTATGTCAAGATTAATATGATTCAGTTCCTCCAGCAATATGTTCAGTTATTGGTTATTGGACAAGGATATCACATTTAGAGTATCAACAGTCAAATAGAAGTTTGTTGACCATGTAGGAACCTCGATTCTCTATTCCCTTTCCCATGTTTCTGCCATTGTCACTGCACTGATTGATGCGGGGAAGGGCAATGTTCACAGGGCAAAGGGCCATTTAAAAATTTTTCTTTGTCTCATGGAAAAAATTTGCCATGGCCAAAACAAATTTCAACACAAGATGGCCAAGTGTTGGTGATGTGGCTCTCTGAGATTAGCTAGGTTGGTACTGGAAAACAGATTTGACTTATTACTAGGCCATACTTTAAGCCTTTCCAAAATGGTAGAATCTGCCAGAGGTTGTGCTTCTTATCATGATGAGGCATCATTGTAGAACTTTGTGAAAGTAAAAAGTATATGGCATACTATTGAGATTAGCCCTGAATTATTTAGACAAGTTATTGAAAATCAGAAATGGATGACAGAAATGACATCCACTCTTAACTATACTAATTTCATCCAGAAGTTTAATCAATGTAAATTAATTGTCACAGCAAGGAGACCAAATGAACCCAGAAAGCACCTTAAATCAGCAAACTTTGGACTTATTTACCAAACAGGGTGAGTGGGCTACCAGATGCAACACCAGATTGGAATGTAAATTCAACTGCAAAATCTTACAAACAGAGCATTATCATCTCATGAAGTAGAGAAAAGTAATGACTGGTTAAACCAATTTAAAGAAAGTAGTGCAAAATAGCAAACCAAACAAAGTCATTCTAACTAAGGGCATTAAAGGATAAGAGGGAAAGACAAAAAGCAGAAGAAAAATGGAAGAGATCTGCAAAAAACATTTCAATAAAGGCTAATATGAATTAATGTTCATCTTTTAAAAAAAAAGTAAGATCTAGGAAAACAATATACAAAATAATAACATTGCAAATGAAAAGAACAACCACTGCAAAACAATAAAAAAAATGAACGTTGAAAATTGCCCACAGAAGACATGTGAAAAGGTACTTCTCCCTGTTCCTTTGATCATAGCATGACTACCTAATTAAATTTACTTAATCAGCACCATACCAATTAAACTACCAGAGAACTACTTTATAGTACCAGGAAAAAACAAACAAACAAACAAAAAAAACAGTGAAATTCATGTGGAGGAAAAAAGGGATACTAGATCTTAGATCTCAGATTATAGTACAAAGCATATAGCTACCAAAACAGTTTGGTACGGGTTAAGAAATAGGTTGATCAGCAAAATAGATTAGGGACACGATATACAGAAGGCAAACAAACACAGCATGGTGTTTGAAAACCCCAAAGATCTCAGCTACTGGGGTAAGAACTTTTTGAGAAAAATTGCTCTAGAAAGCTGACAAACTAGGTATAGGCTAACACCTACCGAGATAAGTTCCAAAAATACCAGGATAAGCTTCAAATGGATACATGACTTATACATAAGGGATGACTTCATAAATAAAAGTAGAGTAGTAAAGAAAAAAATCACCTTTCGTATCTGGGGATAGGGAAAAAGTTCACTACCAGACAAGGCATAAAGGGGATCACCGAAGATAAAATGGATAATTTTGATTATATAAAAAGTTTTTTTTGTTTGTTTGTTTGTTTGTTTTTTTAAACAAGAAAGCTAGTGCAGCTGAATTTGGAAGGAAAATTGATAACTGGGAAAATTTTGTGCCACAAATTTCACTAAGGGCTCATTTCAATTTTTGTAAAGGTGCCATAACACACTTAACAAGTTGGTTTTTTTTTTTTGTTTGTTTTTTTGCTTTTTGGTGAGGCAGTCAGGATTAAGTGACTTGCCCAGGATCACGCAGCTAGTAAGTGTCAAGTGTCTGAGGCTGGATTTGAACTCAGGACCTTCCGACTCCAGGCCAGAGCTCTATCCACTGCACCACCTAGCTGCCCCTGTATATTTCTTTCTTTTCACATTCAAAAATTAACAGAAGGCTGTCACATCTTAACTTTGCTGTAGTTCTATTCAGGTCCTTAACTTCTTTCTTGTATACTTGATTAGATTTGTGTAGGTCTGAAAGGGAGAGGTTGAGATCCTCTGCTATTATAATTTGTCTGGTTTTCCTTGTAATTTTTTTCACTTTTCCTTTAAGTATTTAGCTATGTTATTTTTTGGCATATCTGTCAAATGTTGTTATTCTGTATGGTATCTTTCAGCATATTGTAGTTTTCCTGTTTTATCTCTTTTAATTAAGTCTCTTATTAGTATTTGAGATCATGATTGCTACCCCTGTTATTTGGTTTTTTTTTTTTCACATTTAGCTGAAGCAAAATAATTTTGCACCAGCCCTTATTTTAACTCTGTGTGAATCTTTGCTTTAAATGTTTCTTTTTGTAACCAACATATTGTTGGATTCTGCTTTCTAATCCATGTTACCATCCTTTTTTGTTTTATGAGTGAGTTCATCCCATTCACATTTGGGATGATCATTAATGGTGTATTTCTCTCCATTCTGTTATCCTCTTTTCTCTCTTTGCTTCCCATCCCCTCTTTACAAAGAAGAAGAGAATGGCAAAAGAGAAAGATTATGCTTAGTGCCAGACTTCTGTGCTTGATGCAGTCTACTTCTGGGTCTCCCTTCATCAGAGCTATTAGAGGTTCTTGCCCTTCCTTTCTTTCATTTTAAGTCTCTCTTCACTATCTTCTCTCCTACTGCTGTTTCACTACTCTTCACTTCTCTGAAGTGTTACTTTATTTTGCAGATGACTAACCCCTCCTTGAAGCTATTCTGTTATTTCCCCCACTCCTTGTCCCCTCCTGTTTCTCCCTTTTTTTATACCTATCTTGTATTTTTTATTCTTATCTTCTCTTGACTAGTTCAGATGAAAGTGAGGTTTGAGAGTGGCTAGCTCCCCATACCCCTTCCTTCTTGTTTGCATAGTTTTCTCCTTGTGTACCCCATTTTTGTGAGATGATTTTTCCCCATCCTTCCTCATCCGTTCCCCCCTAGTATTCTCTTTTCTTCTCTCTTTCTTTTCCTTTTTCTTTTTTTATGGTGACCTTGTGGTCAACAAAATATAACAAAACCCTTCCCAGGTCCTCTGTCTTATTTAACTCCCTCTGTGACCCCTTATGACTTTAATGTTCTGAGGGGATACTTGTATCATCTTTCCCTATTAGAATGTAAACATTTCATCCTTGTTCCTCTTGATTGAGCTCTTAATATGTACCTTTTTATTTTTCTTTTGACTCATATGCTTTCATTTCAAAATTTCCCTAGTCTTTTCAACAAGACTATTTAGAGGTCTTATATTTCATTAAAGGTCTGTTTTTTTCCTTGTAGGATTATACTCTGTTTTACTCTAAGTTATTCTTGGCTTGTAAGCCTGTATCTTTTGCCTTTTGCAATATATTCTAAGAGATCTCCACTCACATATTGGTGACTTATATAGATCAGGATGACTAGAGATGGTCCCAGGTGCAGTGGGGTGCCTTTTGTTAAAATAAGACTTTTTATACTTCTGGAGGGAGCATCTGGGCCTCACTTGGTCCTATTTTATATTCTCTTAGGGCCTGCTACTTTTTCCTTTGGGTATTGAGTGAGGGACAGCTCGAGCTGGGGACTTTCAAGTTCACTGTGCACCAAAAGTAGGCTGCTGTAGGTCAAAGTCTGATTGCTACCCTTTTGGTCTGAGCCTTACTACCTTCTGACCTCAGTTTGGGTCTAGGATACAACTTTAGATTTGTCCCCACTTGGAGCTCCAGTAGACTGCTCTGTGCATGGGCCCTGTCAGCTGGCAGGTTCAGCTTCATGCAGCTGAACTAGTGCTAGTTTGAGCTCTTTGCCCTGTTTTCTTAGCTGTAGGCCTCAAACCAGGATGGAGGTTGAATCTAATACTCCACTTTGGGGTCAGAGCCATACAGCTGCTGCTCCATTCTGTGTCTACTCCTTGGTCCTGGTCTACCACCCCTAGACTCAGAACTTCTCCTCATTCTGCACTGGATTTCCTTGCAGCAAGGTGTCTCCCATTCATAGGTGTCAAGGTCATTCAGGATTTCCTGGAGGATGTAAAAACAGAAGTAACTGTTAATAGCCCTCTGAAAATAAGTGTTAGGTGAGCCACAATACAGGTGTATTCTTCCTGAGTTATTCACCTCTGCGATAGTGGAAGAGATGTAGTAGAGAGTCTAGCTAGAGGAAAGATCCCTTTTAGGTGATGATATCTCCCAGATACTCTTTTCTGGTGACATTTTGATAATTGCATCAAGCCCTGATACATCGCTGAACCTCTTGGAAGAGATCTGTAATTACTCAGAGGACTTTATCTTGCACATAGGAAAGGCCAAGTGGATGAAGAATTTTTATTGTCCAGATTTCAGAATCAATTTAGGTAAACACCCCACAGAGCCTGTCCAATTATATGTACTTCTGGAACAGACCATAAGATGGATAGTAAGTTGAAAGGGAAAAGGAAAGCAGACTGGATTACTTTGGGAAATTTCAAAGCTCTTTTACTGATCATAACCTTCCAATGAAAGCAAAGGCTCATCCTTTCAGTATGTATATTCTTACCATTGTCACTGTATGGTAGCAAACCTTAGAACACTCCTGCCTCTGAAGATCTAAAGGTGAGTTTCACACAGAGGATGATGGAGAGGCATATGGTACCTTTCTGCAGGCTGCAGTGTTGAATCAGTAAGGGATTGGAAGAAAACCAGGAGTGGATGTCATCAAGGAATTGTATATCAGGAAGAGAAGATGGTCTGGTCACGTGGGAAGGGCAAAGTATGACAGGCGGACACCCCAGGTGTTCCATTGGTACTTTCAGGTCAAGAAAAATTGAGAAAAGTCTTCAACATGTTGGGATGAAATTGCTGGGAGAACATGGACAAAAGACACTTAGGATTAGCTTACCTGGATGAATTGCAGTTTGTGTCACTGGAGGGAACTCCCAAATTGATGAGCTGACCAGAGCCCTTTGAGTATTTAAAAAAAAGTTATTATCTTTTTTTCATTACCTATTTTTGCCATTCTTTCCCCTTTCACTTTTCCCTCCCAGAGAGCCATAAATAAAAAGGAGAGAAGTTCAGCAAAATTAACCAACACACCAACCAACTCTGATTCCCTGTGCAGAGTTCCACCCACAGCTCTACAAATAAGGGAGAAAGCATGGTCATTATAATTTTACAGCATTCAATTTTGTTTGTTTTGTTTCTGTTTGTATTGTTGTTGACATATGTTTATTATTAGAACACCACATTCTATTAATGGACCACAACTTATTTAACCATTCCCCAGTCAATAGATATCTACTTTATTTTTAGTTAAGGTTTTTTTTTTTAATCTACTGTAAAAATTGCTGCTGTAACTATTTTGGAATATATGGAGCTTTTCTTCTTATCAATCTCCTCATAGGAGGGTGGGGTCTTTGAATCAAAAGGTCTGGGCATTTGAGTTAGTTTCTTAGAATAGTTTAAAATTGTTTTTCAGAATGAGTAGACCAGTTAGGAAATGGGAGTCAGCATGCTTTCTTCCACATGCCAACAACTAGTCTCATTTTTTTTTAAACTTACCATAGGTGTTTCTCAAAAGAAATATGCCTTAATTGCTTTCCAAAACTATTTACTCCTTGACTGTGTTGACTAATATACCCACTCGTACTTTTAGACAAAATAAACATGACGCATTTTCACGTTATTTTGGCAGTCAGGTGGCACGATACTTGGAGTGCCAGACTCGAGTCAAGAACGCCTGAGTCTAGATTCTACCTAAGTCACTTAAAAGCTGTGTGACCCTGTCACTTAAGACTTCTCATTTGTAAATTCATTTTTTTTTATTTGTAAAATGGAGATACTAGCACTTAATTCTCTGGAGTGTTGTGAGGTTCACTAGCGATAACGCATGTGATGCACTTTGCAAGTACTATATAAATGCTACTATTGAGGATGAGGATGAGACGACGTGGGATGACCAAAGCACCAGCTGGATCCCCATTCTACACATTTGGAGCTGGCTAACTCAGCCTTTTCCTTCCTCACCTATCTGCTGTAGCACTTCTCATCTTTACGACTTCTGTGGCATTATATGTACGCTTAAATTGCCTTGTATGTATGTCTTATTTTCCCACTTTTATAGTGAGTATCTGAAAGGTCCTATGTCATATACAGGATTTGTATGCCCCAATTTCTAAGGCTGAGATCTCATCCCACATCCTATCACATAGAATGTGATAGGAAACTCCTTGAAGGCAGTCACCTTGTCCTGTTTTTTGTATCAGTAGCTAGCACAGGACTACACACACTGCAGCTGCTTATGTATTCAAATGTGTGAATTATAGGAATCATTCTTCTAAGAACACAAAATGGGCCAAGTGACATGTATAGTGCTGCAGATCATCACTGGGTCATCTGGTGGTGCTGGGCCTCAGGACAGAGCTTCGTTTTCAACCCCCACATTAGATTCGTCATATCTTTTACTTTGTATCACAAGAGAAACTATGTGAGTGATGAGCCGGTACACGGTGAGAGATTAATCTTAGATTACACTGGTGGTATTTGTAATTATAGCTCATGCTCACATAGCACTTAACAATTCACATCTATGGAGTACTTGAAGGTTTCCAAAACACTTTCCACACAACAAACCTAAAGTTCATTGTATTGTAGTATTTCCATTTTATAGATGAGGAAATTTAAAAGGCATTACCTGAGTCCTCATTTTTCATTTAAATTTATTCTCCTTTTAACTGTATTATTGCAGGTGCTGATGCTGCAGAAGATGAAGAAGTAGATGTTACTAGTGTAGATCCTATAGCTGCCTTTTGTAGCAGGTGAGCACAAATGGCCTTGCATTTTTGCTTTCTAAAGTATTGCATCTTAGGCTCCTCCTACCTTTTGTTCTTAATTAATTATCAGTGTTCTACTACTGAACTCCCCTGAGCCATCATTTCCTCTTCATGCCCCATGAGATTTTGGACCCTTGGTTTCTTGTTCATTTTCATGCCTAGTAGAGTTAATCCTGGCTTAGGGAGGGTCATTACCTTATGTCTTTAAGAGCTGATTATATTCCTTATTCATAGTTGGTACTTAGTAAGTATCTGTTGGTTAAAACTACACGTGGTTTTAAGTACCTTGTTCCCCCCCTCCCTTTGCCTCCCTGACAGTGATGAGGAGCTGGAAGACTCAAAGGCTTTGTTATACTTACCCATTGCCCCTGAGGTAGAAGACCCAGAGGAAAATCCTTATGGGCCCCCACCTGATGCTGTCCAAACCTCATTGATGGAAGAGGGTACTGGTTCAGAGAAGAAGAGACAGTCCTCAGCAGATGGGCCCCAGCCACCAAAGAAGAAAACCAAAACGACCAACATTGAGCTGCAAGGAGTACCTAATGATGGTGAGACCAGCTTCTTTTGGCACCCAAGAGATGATTGTTCGCTCACCTACGTGACTGACGATCTTGGTTGCCTCTTACATCCCCCCCCCCCCCACCACAGTATCTACAGTATCAGTAGCGACTGCCTTCTTATTATGAACTTGGAGCCAGATGTTGGGTAGCAGGTTAGTGCTCTTCCAGGTCAAAATGGGCCTCTGGTTAGTCTCATGGAAGAGTAGTCATTAGTAGTAGTTACAAATGTACTCTTAATTGGGCAATATCTTGTTTTGAGTATTTGATTATAGGTCTGCCATCTCAGGACAGGTTTTCCCCGTTAGCATCCATTTTTGTACTCTGACTGAGCAACCTTTATTGTCATTCTGGCCCCTAAATACCTGCAAAACACTTGCATATCCTCTCTTCTCCTCAACATGTGTATTATCAAGAGAACGCCAAAGCCATAGGCAATGTGAATTGTCTGGTCAATGCCAGCGTTTTTCTGTGGCTGGGTGAGAAGGCCCGTACCTCCAGTCACACAGTTGCTTGGTCAGACCTCCTAATTCCAAATTGCATCTTTTCTCCACTCCACCAGAGTGGTTAGAATCAAGCCCGTGGTTGCGTCCTGTTTTTGCCTATAATGTAATAGTTAACGTGGACCTTAGCCTCCATTTAGGGGTATTGTACCGTGCAGCCTTCTTCATGAGAAACTGGCTGGGTTTGACTTTTTTTGAGGAGTGGCTTCTCTTCAGCTCCTGGCTCCCCCCTTTCATAGTTCTGTAAAAGGTAAGAACTCAGGCAGATTCAGTCTCATCTTTTGAACACAGGCACAAAGTTCCTTATTGGCACTGGCACCATATACACTGTTTTTGGTGGTGGGCTAGAGATTTGAATTGGTTTGTGTGGACTTCTTCCCATACCTATTTGTCCCTTTGCAGAAGTCCATCCGCTACTGGGGGTGAAGGGGGATGGCAAATCGAAGAAGAAGCAAGCAGGCCGGCCTAAAGGATCAAAAGGTAAAGAGAAAGATTCTCCATTTAAACCGAAACTCTACAAAGGGGACAGAGGTTTACCTCTGGAAGGAGCAGCGAAGGGTAGAGTGCAGGCGGAGCCCAGCCAGCCCTTGACAGGTAAGGACCCGTGGTGGGCGCACCCGGCTTGTGCGGCGGCCTTGCTTTGTACAGTCCCCGACGCCTGACCGCAGCTCTTCACCTCTCCCTCCCTTCCTTACCTACTAGTGGCATTCACTCCCAAAGGGTTAAGCCGCTGCCAAGGGCAGGAGAAACCATATTTTGTTTGTTTTCCTTATCTCTGTTCACTCCCAAGTTTTCACTCTGAGTAAAAGAAATAAAAATTTAGGCGGGGAGCCAACTGGAACCTTCTGCCAAAGTCCCAGCGTTGTCTGTTTGTTTTTCCCCCAGTAGCCCAGTGCCAGTAATGAAGTTGGTGGTTGTACATTCCAGAATGGCTAGGAAGGAAGATGAAGTTTTTGAGGTACATACCATCCTGATGTCAGGACCCGAAAACGGGAGGAGAAAACCTGGGAGGAGCTGACCAGAAAAGCAGCTTCTGGGGTGTAGAGGCTGCAGTGTCTGTGTAAGATCTGAACGCCTAAGCCTTTTTGAACTGGCTTTCTCAATCGATGGGCCATCTCACTTTCGTGATATTTGAAATTTGGGAGGGTTGGCTCTTCTTTATTAGGAGTGGATCACTGGATCTAAACTGGGTCTTATAAATTGTAGGGAAAGTGAATTCATCCTAAACCAAAAGGACGGTTTCAATTTCCTGCCATATGTTAGCAAAGCCACTTTCCCTAAGCCCTAATTTAGAACAGTTTCATTAATCTGAAATGCCTGTTGAGGTAGTTTGGGGGAATTTTCCAGTTTTTGTGACTAGCTGTAGCTTCTATTAATTTGGTGTGTTCTTCCTCTGTGGTCCAGAGAGCATGTTAAATGAACACCAAAGTTTCTATTATGAGAGCAGTCCGGAGAACTTAGTATTCTTTAAAAAAGAAAGGAAGTACTATTATTATTGTTCAGGCTAGAGAGGTAGCATGTAGTGGATAGAGTCAGCTTTGTAGACATGAAGATGTGGGTTCAGGTCCCGCCTCTGACCCATCCTGGCTGTGTGACTGGCCAACTCAACTCAGCCTCACAGGGCACCAGGCACCTAAGACTGGGCCGCAGAGGAGATGCCTGTCTGCATTGGTAGAGGTGTGTTCCTCACCAGGGGCTGGTGGCAGAGATGAAATCACAAGCCCTGTTCATTTGAACAGTATCAAACTACCACATGGATCCTTCTGAAATCTGATGTTTGGTTGAAAGTGTTATTTTTTATTTATTTTATTTCATGGCTCCCTGAAGAGAGAGTAGAAAGTCTCAACTCAGCATAAGTCGTACTAGTCTTGAAATGACATTGGGAGTCGTGTACCAGAGTTGCATGTTCTGAACTCCACTGCCTAAGTTTTACCTTATTGTAAACTCCCTTTGTGTTGTGCCTAATTGTGTATGTCCTTGGGAGCAGCTGCTCGTTTTTTGTTTTGTTTTGTTTTGTTTTGTTTGTGTTTTATTGCCCAGAGTTCTCTCCGCTTCCATTATTGCTGGTCTTTCATAACCCATGTTGCTCATCATCTTGTCTGCTCTGCTTATGTTTTATTGCTTGGACTTGTATTGTGAATTCAGGAGAATAAGGTTATAAAACTCAAACTGTCTTCAAATGTAGACTCAGCATGAGGCAGTACATTGACCATTTTAAATGGTTATTTTTAATGCAGTTGACTTGTTGATCAAGTCACTTCTTTAATTAGGAGTTAGCTATAGTGTTATCAGTGAAAACTTATCTAAATCCAGAAAACCCAATTTCTGGGATCTGGTAATGAACATTCAGGAGGAAGACACCTAAATTCCATAATTTTCTACAAGGTTTTTGGTTTATTTGGTGGCCTGAAGTTTGGGTTTTGGGTTTTGGATTTTTGGGTTGGTTTTGTTTTGAGCAACAGTAGCAAGGGGATCCAGAATAGAATGAGCAAAAACATTCTCACCGTGATAGGGAGATGACGTTTAGGCTTGTGGAGGCTGTTTTGTTCATCTCAGGATTTTTTATTCTTGCCCTAGGAGGTACATGACTATTTTCTTCATGTTGTGATATGTAAGGGAAGGTGGTATCAAAACCTCCTGTTTCTTCTGAACTGTAAGAAGTGGAAACTGAATTTCTCACAATGTGACATTCAGCTCGATGATGGAGTTTGAATTTCATTTTGACATCGGTCTGTTCCTCACCAAATGTAAATATAGTCTTGGTTGCCAGCGTATCCCATATCCAGCTGTGTCGTTCTGTGGTTGAAACTTTTCTTTTAACCTGAGTCAGTTTTGTAAATGGGTTCCCTGGCATGAATCTTCTTTTTGAAATGACTTTTTCTTCAAGTGACATCAGTGCCCATTTTTCCATCTCTTCACTGTGGTGTGGAACAGGGACACGTTGACTTTGTTCTTTTTCTGGACTTCCTTGCCAACATTCTTAGCTACCCCTTTAAGGCTGTCCCCAGACACTAAATAGTGTCTATTGAATAATCAGGGAGATGCTCATTACATTTGCAAAGTCAGGGTTCTGTTTGCCGAGTTATTACTAAACTTGAGTAAAACCCTTTAGGACTCTTCTTCATGGTACGAGGACACTGCACACGCAAGGTGTTCTGAGGCCTTTGGAAAGGGTTTGTAGCCAACTCTTGGTTGGTTATTTAGATGCTAATCGTGAAGCTCCCTAGCGTCTCCTTTCCTTTCTCACTGCTTGCCTTGGAGCACATACCATCTCTTTATGTCTTTGTAAATGTTCTTGGGAGCTCGGAAGAAAAGGTTAAAAATTCAGGGGATACACCTTTGCTTCCTTGGTGAAAAAAGGTGTGGATCTGGAAGGGATCTCCGAGGCCATTTAGTCTGACCTCCTCCTTTCACGGACGATGGAGGGGGAGTGACTTGCCCAAGGTCACACAGGCCAGTGAACCTATGGGATAGGATTTAGACCCAGGCTCTGACTCCAGAGCCAGTGATGCTCTTGTTCTGGCTACTGGTGGGTCTCAATGAAGGGTAGCCAAGAGTTCCCTGTATCTCTTTTTCTAGATCAGGAACATGGTACTTTGCCTGCTTCTGCTTCTGCTTGTAGCACATCTTATCTGTCAAGATCTCCATTCTGACCAGTAACTGGGATGAAGTGATGCTAATAGAACCTTTCCCATCTTAATCTCTCCAGCAGGGGGCGCGATCTCAGAGCTGTTATGAAGACGACCTTGGGAGTTTTCCATTCTTTTCCCACTCTGCAGTCATGCAGCCTCGGACATTGTGCTCGGACAGATGAGACTGACTTTCATTGAAAACCAAGGCCTCCTCCTCTCTCAGCAGGTGGCAGGAGGAGTGATGTTTATTTTTGAATGAAGTGAATTATGAAAGAAGAGTGACCCTCCTCAGCCGTCCTTCTCAAAGCAGAATTCCCAATAGACTCAGGAAAAGAGGATTTGCCAAGACTTAATGGGACTCCTGGCTCATTTAGACAGAATGCTTCTCTGCTTAGTTATGCTGCTGGAACAACACCTACATTTTCTTCGTATGACCTTTCTTAACTAAGCATCACTTTGATTGGCCCTTTCCCATCTCCTGCTCCCTCTCATCCCTTAGCGCATGTCCTCAAGTGAATTATTCTTCTGTGTGACTTTTCCTCTCCCTGCTATTGTCTCGTAGAAAAGAATCTGTTGCATACTCTCTCTTTCCTTTCTCCTTTCTTCCCTAACCCAGTCAACATATAAAGGCCTGTATTCCATGTTACATTATTCTTTTTAAGAACAGGCAAGAAAACAAAGTGCTTATAATCCAAAAAGCTCAGGAAAATATAGAGCCATCAGAAAGGGAAGACATAGATAAGAAACCCATTTTGACTGTCATATAACCTTTTCCCCGGGAGGCTGGGATGTAAAATGTTTTTCCATTTTAGCCTTCAGCATCAATTTAATCTCTCTAAATCATGTTTCTGAAGACAGATAGTTTCACCTGTTCCAGGCAAAGTAGCACGTGAGGGATTTTTTTTTTTTTGCTGTCATGTGCAAACTACTAGAGAAGAAACCAAACAAAGGTATCTCTAAGCCTTCTTTTACGAAAAGGTATCTATGCAAGGTCTAAAATGGAGCTGTCCAAAATCAGATGCAGCAACACAGTTCAAATCAAAGTTCAAAGTGAAATTTTTTCATCACCGTCCATGGATTTGCCCTTCCCTCAAAACATCAGTGTTGCCTCCACCTGTGTCTGTGTTGTGAGCAGTTTCAGTTTCCTCCTTACAATTCCTCTATTAGCATTTTTTTGTTGGTCACTTCCTTTCTGTGAAAGGCTTCTCAGTTGTCTCAGCTTCTTCACCACCATTTATGAAACAAGAGTGGCAGCTCAAATGTGTGCACACATGAGAAACCTTTGGATTTTTAAAAATTGCCCAGAGTTCTTTCCACTTCCATTGCTGGTCCTTTGTGAGCCCACGGAGCTCATCGTCTGGCCTGTTCTGCTTATGTCTTGTCACTTATTGTCTCAAAAGTTCATTTTAGGGAAGCAACATGTGAAATGAGAATCCACAGCCCTGGATGCAGTATTCATCTAGCTATATCTATTTTAATGTGAAGGTAGTATTTTCTCTTAACTTTTTGAGGAAAGCTTTAGAACAGTTTACACTATAGCATGAGGAGGAACCCACTTGAGTCCATAGATGATCCAAGAAAGAGATGAATCTGGTTATTTGAAAGGATGTTGGAATGTCTGAAAGAGCCTTTCCTCCCGTTTCACTTGTTCATGTAAGAGAAAGGTCCGTTTCCTGAGATATGTGACAAAAAGTCCATGTTCTTTGATGTAACTTATTCTCTACAGAAACCCTTGTTACCTAGACTCTTAAAACGAGTTACTCATTAGTAGAGTGATTGTGTGGACTACTGGACATGTTTCTGTTTTACATCATAAGGAACGCTGTCATTACTTTGAATTGTATTCTGTATTAGTCTGCCAGTTCACATAAATGCTTTTCTACCCTGTCACCATTTACCATGTAATTTGAATTTTCTTGCCTGGGTACTTGGTTATTGAGCTATTTCCCCTCCCGAATCTGAGAGTGCCAATCAAAGCTCCTTCGAGTTGGCCCTTGACAACATCTTCAGGATTCGTTTTTTTGTGATTCAAGTATTTTCTTCCATTCTTCAAACTTGCTGTCCATTTCATTTGACTGCTTCTCCATTTGTACAGTACATGTATATTTTTTTCCTCCTTTCATCTCCCCACATGTGTATGTGTGTTTTCTCTCTCGTCACTTTTTTTTTTTTAAAGTTTTAAATGCTCTGTAGTTTTGTAAAAGATGAAAATTGGTCACTTGAATAGTTCTTGCTAAAGTGATGATGCTTTGTAAATAAAGATGATCATTTTACTTAACGGTTGTTTGTAGTTGTTTGCAAAGAACACTTGCTCTTCAGTGTGTCTGTCATTTTGTTTAACTTCACAGAAGACATGGGCCTCAGCTTATGAAGGGATGTTAAAATTATAGGTCTGGAAGGTCACATAGTTCACCCTACTACCTCTGAACAAGGTTATACTTCATATTTCTAAAACAAATCATCTGTTTCAGTCCTAAAGATCTCCTTGTATGGACATCTTATTATCTAAACAAAGTATCAGTTTGGGGATAAACTTAGGTCTCTTCCTACCACTACTATCACCTTTCTGTCAATTAAATAAACTATATGAATATTCTTCACATCCTAAGGCACAGGATGCCTCTTTTCAAACAAAAGAAAAAACCTAAATTACTCAAATTCCTCGAGATTTCTTCTCCAAACCAAATGTTCACCTTGAAATGTTCCTCTTTAACCTTTCTCGTTACTGTGACCCTAAGAACCCTTCTGTGACATCGCAACTGTTTCATAGCAACCATGTCAAAAGTATAGCCCATCAGCTGCTGTTCATAGGGTATGAGGAATAAGGAAAATCAGCAGGAAGCCTGGGCGAATTAAATTGCCTTTCAAACGGAAAATAACTTCATTACTCTTGGGATAGAGAAGTGCAGAGAAAGGAAAATGGTAGCTATGTTAAATATCCCTGCTTTGCTGATAAACATTTTGATTCTTAAATGGTATTTCAGCCTCTTGTCTCCACCAGTTTTTAGTTTTATTTCTAGTAGCTTTACTGTGAGACCTTGAGCAAATTGCTTCATTTCTCTGGACCTCTGCAAAATGAAGGGGTTGGGCTTATATGATCTCGGTTGTCTCTACTTCAGCCCTGTATTCCTAATAACATATTTATAGAATCTTTTCACACTTGGGATTTGATCCTCAACAGCCCAGTTAGGCAGGCAGAGCAAATAGTATTTTTTTCCACTTTGCACATGAGAAAACAGATTGATGGATTTAAGTGACTTGCCTAAGGTTTCACAACTTGTTAGTGGTGGAGCCTCATGGAGAACTTAGAAACATGGAGATTCTGACTCTTCCAGTATTCGGTACAAGAGAATTTTAGGTTTTGTTTTGGTTTTTTTTAACTTTAAGGCCTATTAGTGCTTCTTGCAAATTTGATGAGTAAGAATTGCTTGGCTAGAGCTAATTGGGTACCTAGAAACTTATTTATAGATCCTGTTGAGAGTTCAGGGGCACTGGGAAAGTACACTGCTTTCTATTACACAGTCAGAGTGATTTCAAAATTCACTTCAAATTATGAAGCCTTTTGTTGCTTTTCTCCCAAAGAAACCTCATTTAGTTGCAAGGATAGGAAGGGATGTCTGAAGCATGGTCATGTGATCAATGATAACAAGTACCAACATTGCATGTGGTTTCTTTTGCATTGCATGCTCTCCTATTGTTAAAGTTTGGAATTTTGTTTATTAGGTCACATACTTTTGGAAAAAAACTCACACCTTTTGACTTTGGAAGATGTCATCAAAATTTAGAATGTGAAAATGAAGAGAATTTAGCAGGAATTTCAGAAATGTTTTTAATGTTTACTCCAAATGGCCTCATGGGCTGTTGATTGAAGGTCTAAGCATGAAGACACTAAGCACTGGCTTTATCCTTGGAACACTGGCATTTGCTTTCTACTTGCCTATAATAGTGACATTCCATCAAGCACTCACAATTCCTGCAAAGTTGAAGCAGGCTCATGGAAGAGTGATCGTCAATGCTACACCCTGCACAGTCACCTGTGGCCTGGGCTATAAGGAGGAGAGCACCTGTGAGGTGGGCCCTGATGGGGTGAGAAGGAAATGTGAGACTCACCAAACTGAATGCTTGACCAATTGGATTTGTGGGATGGTCCACTTTACTGTTGCCATTGGGAAGGCATTTGATCTGACCTGTCTGAGTCCAGACATCATCCTCTATGGGCATGAAGCTTTCCGTTTCACCTGGATGTTTGCCCGTGGCATCATCTCCACCGATGATGAGTTGTTTAAACCTTTTCAGCGCTCTGTCCATTCTGTGAAGCTGGATCCTGCCCGAGAGGTTGATTCAGGCACCTATAGGTGTGATGTCCAGTTGCTGAAGAATTTGAGGTTTGTCAAGAGAGTCTACTTTGCACTGAGGGTCATTCCTGCTAACTTAGTGAACCTCAACTTTGATGAGTCCCTGACTGAGGTGCAGAAATTAATAGATGAGGGATTGGACCTGGATCTAGATACACCTGTCCATCTCCGACGCTCATTATGGAATAAAAAGGTCTTGTTAGCACTGGGGATAGGAATTACAGGGGGAGTTATTGTAGGTGTGCTGGTAAGTATAGCTGTTCACTCTTTGCCAAAAACTAACAAAGGAGAGGTCAAGACAGAGATGTAATAGTCTGGCCGCCATTCCTTGAAGTTTGCAAACCTAATAGCAGTGCTAACTGATTTTGGAGACTCTTGTTTCCACCCATGGAATCCCCATAGGATCTATGGGAAAATGAAATCCCTGATATGCTTTGTCTCCTGCCAAACTTGTCCCACCTTATCCATCTTTCCCAGTATCATATGAGTGCCTTTCCCAGTGTCACACGAGTGCCTGTGCTCCAGGGGAAAGCCCAGCTCATCACCAAAGTTGCTTTGGTTTTGCACCTGTTAAAATTTGCTGTAATTATTTCCAGTGTTAATGCTTCTTCCTGATGTTAGATATTTGAACAGAATGTCTATTCACTGATTTTTTTTTAACTTAGAAATTCTATCTCCACTTTAATAAAAAGTTTCTGCCTTGTATGCATCTATACTGTGGGTTTGAATTCTTCTTTCTTATTTCACACTGTGGAGGTGGTGTCCCTGCTCACTTGGATTAGTCCACAAGCATTTATTAAGTACTTATCTCATGCAAGGCACTGGAGATTCGAAGGCAAAAATACAACAGCCCTAGTCCTCAAGGATATTACAGTCTGGGGGTAGAGGGGAGAGAGACAACTGTACAGAAATAGGAACAAACAAGATATATAGGGTGGATACAAAGTAGAAGGCCCTAGCAACTGGGAAACCAGGAAAAGCCTCCTGCAGGCATTATTTGAGCTGAATCTTCAAGGCATTCGAAGGAAGGAAACAAACATTCATTAAGTGACTATACTACATGCGGGGACAGCTAGGTGGCACAACGGATAGAGCACTGGACCTGGAGTCAGGAAGACCTGAGTTCAAATTCAGTTGTGTGACCGTGGGCAAATCACTTCACCCTGTTTGCCTCAGTTTCCTCATCTGTAAAATGAGCTGGAGAAAGAAATGGCAAATTACTTCAATATCTTTGCTGAGAAAACCCCACGTAGGGTCATGAAGAGTTGGACATGACTGAAAAATGACTGAACAATGTATTACATGCCAGGCACTATGCTAAGCATCTTCCTTACATATATATCATTTAGTCCTGTGGGAGGTAGGTGCTATTATTATCCTCATTTTACAGTTGGGGCAGAGTAAACTTGCCCAGGGCTACACAGCTTGTGTCTGAGGCCTGATTTGAACTAGGATATTCCTGACTGTGGGGCTAGCACTCTATCCACTAAAACCTCTTAACCTGCCTCTAAGAGGCAGAGGAGAGGAGAGAGAGCATTCCAAGCATGGTGGGTCAGCCACTGCAAAAAGCACAGACAACATGCAACAGCCTGGATTGTAGAGTGTTGGGAGGAGAATAATATTGAAGAAGACATAAGACAAGGGAGCAAGCTGTGAAGACCTTTAAGTTTATATTTGAGGTTAGAGGTAATAGTGAGCCACTGGAGTCTATTGGGGGAGAGAGGGAGCAAACCTGAACTTAAGAAAAATGAGTTTGGATGGAGTAGGGAGAGAGAGAGAGAGAGAGAGAGAGAGGAAGAGACAGAGACAGAGAAATGGAGGGAGGGAGAGAGAGACAGAGACAGAGATAGAGACAGAGACAGAAGAGAGAGAAAAGAGTGAGAAAGAGAAGACAGAGAGAAAAGAGAGAGAAGAGAGACAGTGAGAGTGTCAGGAGACCACTTAGAAGGCTACTACAATAGTCCAGCTAGAGGTGATGAGAGCCTGAATTAGGATGATGGCTCTGTGAGTGAAGACAAGGGAATATATGGGAGAAGGGAAGTACAAGATAGGACAACTGATTGGAATTTGAGGAATGAGTGAGAGTGAGGAGTTAAGGAGTTGACTGAGATTGTCAACCTAAATTACTATACACTTGGTGGTGCCCTGGAGAATGACAGGAAAGAGAGGTTGGTTTGGAGGGAAAGATGATGAGTTCTGTTGTGGCATGTTGGGTTTGAGATATCTACGGGAAATCATTTGTGTTTTGTGATATTGTAGGGACCACATTGAACCGAGGAAAGGCTGACGCAGATGTAGAGCCCCCCACCCCCATGACCTCACCTGTTTGGTATTAAGGTGAATTTTCACCCAAGGGCAAACACTTCCTCTGGTATAGATGTCCTGTGGCCATTCAGATTTCCTTGGTTTGCTTTCCCCAACTACTTAATCCCTTTAGCTCTAACTTTTTTTAGCCAGAAAAAGGCTTGTACTGCTATAAGAGAACAAATATACTGACTTTTTTTTTAAAGCAGGCATAACCCTTGAGGGTAGTGCAGTATCCACCTCAACCCATTTGGAATCCATTCTTAACAAGGCACTCAAAAATCCAATGTCTCTCCCGAAGGTAATTGGATTGTAGAGCCATGAGGGGAGAGGAGGCAGGCCTCTGGATGGCCAGAGGCTGGGCTAATTCTAATAAGTGAATTACATTTCTCTCACACAGATTTCTCTTGCTAATCTTGGAGGAAGATCTCACCCTAAGCCTAGAGAAGAATGAGCCGGGGCCTGAAGGTCAGAAATACGGCAACATCCTTGATTAAAGACAAACTTTAAACCTCCATCATTATCCCCCCTACCTACCTACCATCTCCACCTGCCTCAGGAAGGATGAGCTTAATATCAAATTGTAGTAGTTCAGTCTAGGAAAATCTAATGAATGAGAAAGTGACAGCCCTTTATTACATTTCAAGGAAAGGGCTGGAGGGCCTGACTTGTAGCTTCTCAAGAGTTCAAAGTATTCTTGAATTCTAAGAGAAAAGTAGCCTGGTGCCCAGGGTCGGGAGGCAGGAGACCTGAGTTCCAGTCCCTATTCTACCACTTATTATGACCTTATCCTCCCCACTCTGTACTGTTTTTCACTCGGTGATCTTGGCTCCCATGGATTCAGTTGTCATTTCTATGCCGATGATTGTCAAATTTAGTTATCCAGCCCTAATCTCCCTGCTAATCTCCAGCTGGACGTCTTGAACTGGATATTCCATAGACGTCTTAAACTCATCATATCCGAAACTGAATTCATTACTTTTCCCCCCAATCCTCTCTTCTTCCTAGATTCCCTATTACAATCACCCAGGCTCACAACATAGGTATTATCATCAACTCCACACTCTCAACCCTTCTCAATCTGTTGCCAAGGCCTGTAGATTTTACCTTTGTAACATCTCTTGAATACATCTCCTTCTCCCCTTTGGCACTGCCAATGGCCTAGTACAGGCCCTTATCGCCTCATGCCTACACTGTTGCAATAGCCTTCTAGTTGGTCTGCCTGCCACAAGCCTCTCCCCACTCCAGGCCATCCTCCATTCAGTGGTCAAAGTGATCTTTCTAAAGTGCAGATCTGACCCGTGTCACCCTCCTACTCAATGAATTTCATTGGCTCCGTATCACCTCAATCAAACATAAAACGCTCTAGCACTCAAAGCCCTTTATAACCTGGACCTTCCTACTTTTCTTTTCTTTTCTTTCTTTTTTTTTTTTTTCCTTTTTGGTGAGGCAATCGGAGTTAAGTGGCTTGCCCAGGGTCACACAGCTAATAAGTGTTATGTGTCTGAGACTAGATTTGAACTCAAGTCCTCCTGACTCCAAGGTCAGAACTCTATTCACTGTGCCACCTAGCCGCCCCTCCTTCCTACTTTTCTAATCTTATAGAGCCTTGTCTTGGTCTAATCACCCACACACAGTTGGACACACTGTACATTGACCCTGGCATCATGATGTCATTTTGGTTCTCTTTGAGTACAAAGGACAACAATAAACGACATCTTACACCCACCCACAAACTCTGCTATCTAGCGAAACTGGCTTTCTTGCTATCCTTCATTAAAAAAAAGACGCTACATCTCCTGACTCCAGACATTTTCACTGGCCATCTACCATGCCTGGAAGGCTTTCCCTCCTTGCCTCCATCTCCTGGCTTCCTTCAAGTTCCAGCTAAAACCTCACCTTCTATAGGAAACTGTCCCCAATCACCTTAATTCTAGTGCCTTCCTTCGGTTTATCCCAACTTATCCCAGATATAGCTTATTTGTATATAAATGTTAACATGTTGTTTCCATCATTAGACCCTGCCTAATCCATTACCTATACCATTAGGCTGTGCGGCTATCTTTCACTTTTCTTTGTTATCTCCAGCGCTCTGCACAGTGCTTGATACACAGTAATGATTAATAAATATTGATTAATTGATTGATTGACCTCTCTGCAGTGTTTGACACTGTTGACCACCCTTTCCTTCTGGTTACTCTTTCTCTTTCTCTTGGTTATAGCACTTCTCTCTCTTGGTTCTCCTCCCCGTCTGACCATTTCTTAGTTTCCTGTGCAGGCTTATCATCCATATCACATGCCCTGTGGGTGCACCCCAAGGCTATTCCTTTAACACTCTTGGTGACCTCATCAGCTCCCAAGGGTTTAATATTCTCCATGAAGATGACTCCCATATTATTTATCTGTCTCTATCATCTCTATACGTATGTATGTGCCTAATTATCATTATCCATCTATCTTCTGTCTGTCTATTATCTCTATATGTATGCATATGCCTATCATTATCTATCTGTCTGTCCATCTATTATCTCTATATGTATGTATATGCCTAACTATCATTATCTGTCTGTCTGTCCATTTATTATCTCTATGTGTATGTATATGCCTATCATTATCCATCATCTATTTATCTATCTATCTGCCTATCATTATCTATCTATCTGTCTGTCTGTCTATCTTTTTCAGTCTTGGTCTCATTCCTGAGCTCCAATACCACATCACAAAATGCTTATTGAATCTTTCAGAATGGATGACCTGTAGGCATCTCCAGCTCAACATGTTCAAAAAAGAATCCCTCTTTCCCCATGAATACTCCTCTTCTGAACCTCCCTATTTCTGTTCTAGGGCACCACCACCTTTTACATGGAATCACAGATTTGGAGCTGGAAGGGACTTTGGAGGCCATCAAGACAAACCCCTAATTTTACAGATGTGGAAACTGAGACTGAGAAGTTAAGAGACTTGTCCAGGGTTACATAGGCAGTACACATCAGAGACAGAATTTGA